GACTTTATAGTTCAGATCTGTTGTTTCGCTTGAGTAAAAGAAGTGACTCCGCGCGCAGCTTGTTGCCATGGCAGGGTTAGGGACTAGGGAATTCGCGACTCCACTGGTTCCTATACAACCTGCTGGGCCTCAAGCTCAGCAATTACTATTATTATTACTACTACTGCTACTACTACTGCTGCTACTACTACTACTACTACTACTAATACTATTACTATTACCATTACTACCAGTATTACTGGGAGTTAGTATTACTAGTATTACTAGTACCGCGAGAGCTACTAGTACTACGAGTACTACTAGTGCTATTTGTAGTACTAGTACTGTTAGTACTACCAACATTACTAATTCTACTAGTAGTAGTACTACTACTACTAAGTCTTCATGTTTAGACGTATGAAACGCACTTGCAGTATTCGCAGCACCTGTAGCCGTCGCAGTACTCCCAAGTCCCAAGTAATCGCAGTACTCGTAGTACTAGCAATATTGGCAATGTTAGCAGTGCTCGCAGTGTTAGCAGTGCCAGCAAATGCCAGCAATACCAGAATTGAGCTTTGTTACACGGCTACACGTGTCATGTGTTGCCGTTGTCGATTTTCTCGCTGCTTCTCAGAATTTCTGCGCCTGCGGGTAATAAGTTGTAAATGCAGGGGGTTTTGCATTCAAAAGCACGGACCACTGGTCATCCAGAGCATCCATGCTCGAACCGTGATATCCCAAAAGCATCCATGCTGCAACCGTGATAGTGTCCATTGAGACCGTGATCCCACAGCATAAACGCCCGAATCGAGATGATGTTTGCTGTCCAGTGTCGTTGTCTTCATGCCTTGAATACGTCCCTCCAAAGTTTGTGTTATCCGAGAACATCCCTGTCCGAAGCTTGATGACGTCCATTGAGCCCCCAGCCATAATCCCAGAAAGTCCAAGTCCAAACCGTAAAAGTGTCCACTGGGAGTTCATCCGTGATTCAGAACATCCACGGCTCGGGCATGGATGCCTTGGGATCACGGCTGAGGTTTTTGCGGATGTTGTCCGGGCATGAGCACGGATGAGGTTTGAGCGGACGTTGTCACGGTTCGGGTATGGATGCTATGGGGTCACGGATGAGGTTTGAGTGGACATAATGTCGCTTCGGGCATGGATGTTGTGGGATCACGGATGAGGTCTCAGTGGACACGAGCACGGTTCCGGCATGGATGTTTTGGGATCACGGATCAAGAGTCAGTGGACGTTATCGCGGTTCGGGCATGGAAGTCCAGCATGACGAAAGCGGCATGGATGCGCTGGGGTCACGGATGAGTTTCTCTGGACGGCTATCAGGGTTGGACATGATGCTCTGGGATCACGGATGAGGTCTGGGCAAACAGGATGTTTCGACCTGCGAACCCTCAAATCAGCACAAATACCGATGTCGCGGCAGTCTGTGGTGCAGGCGGCAAGAAAGATGTTGTCGCCATGCGAACCATTCCAAGCCCCTGGCGTGTCGACATCAGGTGCGACTTGTAAACCAATGTTGGGAGCCCATCTAACATGCTGCAAAAAAAAACTGTTCGGAGCCCACTGGAGCCAAGCCGAAAAACAACAGCCAGCGGAACCCATACCAAACGCACGTTTAACCTTTTTGCAAAAAGCTAAATGAATCCACCAAAGGAGCTCACCTAAAAGGGAGCTCGTTGACACATCCGTTGGGGTGTAAAGACACGCACATGCGGGCATGGGGGAGGGCATGGGGGAGGGCGTGTCAAGACGAATTGCGATGCACGGCACTGGAAAAATCCTTCGGAAGGTGCATCGGGGTGCAAACCGGGTCGGAAAGCGTTGGATTTTCCAAGAACCTTTTGGAAAGTGTTTACCCCCACACCATTTCGACGGGTCTACGGGTTTTCTCAGAACTGCAATGAAATCTATAATGTTCTAATACACAACAAGGGTGCAAGGACACTGATAACTCAAGACTGCACCCCTCAGTGATGAAATTTAAGCCAACATAAAGCTAATGCCCCGTATCGATGAGTTTTGATATAGACGGCACTGCGACATCTTCAGAGGACATCGGTTGTGTTTCTGTCCGAAAGCATAAACGTGAGACCGGGCTGATTCGGCTTGAAGCTTGGAGTGGCGTGATCTCTCTGTAGCACTGGAAACCCAGCCGTGGCAGAGGGATGCCTCGACCTGAGATACCCGGTGGACGAATCTCGGGACTTACCGGATTGGTTAGTGGGGTCCTTGTGATTTCGCAGCGCTGCAGAGTGTAGGTGTTGATGACGGTGATTTGCATTCTTCGGTCGTGTGCAGTGCTACCCTTGAGCATGTGCTGAGCATGTGGAACAAGTGTTTGCGAACACTGTGCAGGTGTGCCTTTTTGCGATCATCGCGCGCATGTCGCTGAACTCCTTGAATTTGGACACGCCCGGATCTTGGCTTTCACCTCCGGGTGCATATCGGGGCTATTGTGGTGGCGCGGCCTGCCAATGGCTGCACAATTGCTGAGGGCGTGTTACATCGTTCATGGCACCAACTTCCAAGTGTCGAAGAGGCTGGTCGCGATAGCAACCCCCCAACATCTGGTCGGGTGGAGTCGGAAGTCTCAGTTGTCTGGCAACTTGGTTGTTTTTCGGTGAGTCCAGACGATTGCCGATGAAGAGGCAGTTAAGGTTGTAGCCAGTCGGTCAACATGTCAGGTACACAGTCCTCGAGCAGGTGGGCCAGGGTGCCTACGGCATCGTCTGCGCTGCGCAGGACCTTTTTTAGCCTGCCTTGAACACCTTCCTTCCTAAGCGCCGCCTCGGAGCTGCAGAAAAAACTGTCCTGGGGCAATGCCTGCACAGCCTTGCAGGACGAGGAGACCCAGGAGTCGGTCGCCGTGAAGAAGATTGAGAATGCGCCGCTTGGCGAATGCGAAGCGGCGGCCCAGTGTCCAGGGATCACTTCTCGAGAAGGTAGCGAATGTTCTCAGGTTTGAGCACATCACCTGCCCGGGACTCAGAAGCCCTTCTTTGTCTGAGTCTTAATTGACTTGAGTAGAACGTGCAGCTGGGATGTGTTGCTTGTTTCAGGCTTGCTCTGCCGTGGTTTGTTGCCCAGTCTCGTTTGTCCAAGTCACAAAGCGAACTCTCCGCGAGCTGCGGATTCTCCGGCACCTGCAGCACGAGAATTTGATCGATGTGAGGAGCTTCAGTTGTGAGGGCTACGGGCAATGTTCTTGTTGTCCTTCTTTTCGCATCGGACGCTGATCCAAAGACTGGTGGCGAGAAGTTACTCCTTGCAGGAACATATTCCTGGCTGGATCAAAGGATGACTTCGAGGCTCGAGACAAGCGGGCCGGAATGGTCCGGAAACTCTGGAACGAGAGCATCACAGGACATCTACGTTATCTCAGAGCTCATGGAAACCGCGGCAGGCTTAGTGAGAGATGCTCTTGAATTGCTCACACTCTTCTTGGAGGCATCTCTCTCTCGCTCTCTCTCTGCCTCGCTGCGTCTTTTTAGTAGCTGACTGGCTGCCCGTTAAACCTTTTGGGAGAATATGATCCCTTATAGAATTATAGAACTGAAAGTGTACACTTGTTTGTGCTTACGAACTCAGCAGCTAAGTTTTGCAGTGTTTTGTGCTTTGGTGTTGCTATTTGCCTGCTTCCTCGCTTGCTTTTCTTGCTTGTTTACTCTACTTGCTTGTTTTCTTGCTTGCTTGTTCTTTTGTTTGCTTTCAGCTGTTTGGCTGTTGTCTGTTTCCCGTCTCTTTGGGTGTGTGCATAGAATTGAATTTGGAGCTGTGGGCTTCGTTGAAGGATTAATTGTGGGCTCCGCTTGGTTCTGGCTTTAGTACACGGTCAGGCTGCTCGGGTTTGTGGCGCGCATGTGCCGAAATAACCAGCAATCGTCAGAAACCCGATCCCATTCAATGTGCTGTGGAGTCGTGACAGGGAGAGAATTGCAGCAGCGGATCTGTCCACCCTTGCTTGGTTTGTAAGGACTTGGCATCGATACTGAAGTCGACACAGCCACTGACCGTCGCTTGGCTCAACCGAGGTATTTCCTGCGTCGGAATCTTGATTGCCATGCTCAGCAGGACGATCACTGCCAGTTCTTCCTCTACCAGATCCTGCGTGGAATGAAGTATGTTCATTCTGCACAGGCCAGGTTGTTTGTGTCGTCACTCTTCGGGCACTTGGGAGTGCATGAGATGTGAGTTGACCTAGGTCATTCACAGAGATCTCAAGCAGGGGTCTCGGTCTACTGGCCTCCTAGAAGTTTGCCCAGTTCCGGAGCTGTGGAATCGATTTGCGAGGCCGCGAAACTTGCTGGTCAACGGCAATTGTTCCTTGGTGTCAAGACGTCATCGGCTGCTCTGTCAACGAAAGTTTTGCACACTTGCAGGCGACCTGAAGATCTGTGACTTCGGCCTGGCAAGGGTGAGTTTCTCGAAGGAGAAACCCGACGTGGTTTGCACTCTGATGAAAGTTCCGCATGCTGATGCTGTTCAGGAGTTTCAGACCTGTCCGATGACAGAATACGTGGCATCCTCAGATGACTTGCTCAAAGCGCTGCATGCTGAAATTCTCGGGACATCTGGACATGTCTCTGCGGCTGCACCGAGGTTTGTACACGTTGGTATCGGGCTCCAGAGGCATGACACCTTGCAGTGAGAGTGGTCATGAAGGGGTTGGCCAACTGAGTGTCAGCTGATGTTATTAAGTCTCCAGACATTCGGTTGACAAAATTCGTTGTTCCACCATTTCTACCGAGCAGCGGCATTGGCCGCAGTATGCAGAATGGATCGTTCCTGGAAGGTCTTATGTTCCTGGGTGGACTACACCACAGCAATTGACATCTGGCTTCTTGAGCTTTGATGTAACAGTGCGTTGGAGTGAACCGTCTTGGCAATGCTTGCATTTGTCTTTGCCTGCATGCGGACATTGTCGCGATTGGTTCTACGACGTAGACTCTACGAAATCTGAACTCCGGGCAGAGGTCAATTGGCTGCATCTTTGCCGAGGCTGGGGGGTTCAGATGCGAGGAAAGACGCAAAGAAGTGTCTCACGCGCTCCGGACTCTTTTTCAGTTGCACGTCGTTTTCTGTCGAGCCGACCCAGTGGATGAGGGAGAGGGAGAGAGTGAGTCCGAGTGTGTGTACTCGGGGGCGGCTGGGCGGGTTGTTAGTAGAGAGAGACCTTACTGGGCTTGTGGTCTAGATGTGTAAGCTGGAATCGACTTCTCTGCAATGCGAGATGCTGGAACGCAAGCCTCTTTTCCCGGGGCACAACACGCAGCACCAGCTGCAGGCTCGATTTGAGAGTTGAGACGTGAAGAGTTGACAGCTTGACCCAAGAACCCCGTTTGCACTCGCCAGTCCATCATCTCCTTCCTTGGGAAGCCCAGTGCTGAGGCAGGGCAGACTTCGCAGAGGTGTTTTGTACGTCTCATGCGAATGGATGTGCGACATGGTGGCGGGGCTTGCGGTATGATCGGAAAAGCAGGCCACCTTTACTTCCCCACCTTGTGGGCCTCACACGTTCCCCATTCCAAAGGAGCTCAACAAGATCAAGAACGAGAAGTGCAGGCGGCTTTCAACGCAGGGTTCGAGCGCACAAGCGAAGTTGGGCTGTCAGGGTTGGTGCAACACTGCAGGAACAGGCGTGAGACTCATCCATGAGTGCAGGCGCTTCATTGAGTCGTTACCGGCCACAACCGCCTCTTGGCTTTTGTCAGACACAGGCAAGTCCTCTAGTTTTCAGCTTCAAGAAGCTGTGCAGCTCCGTGCCATGCCCGGGTGGCCGCAGGCCGTTCTGCTACTGAGGCGCAGAGCTTGCAGGAGGTATTCCCGAACGCTGAGGACTCAGACGGACTGAGACGCTACTCGAAGGAGTGGTCACAGGTAGCTGGAGCTTCTTCGCACCTGACGCTGCGATACGCTGCGGCATTGAGGCCAACCCCAGTGCCATGGAGTTCCTCAGTGCGACCCTGCGCTTCGACCCAGAGCAGCGGGTGGCCGTCACCGAGGCCTGCTGGCATTCCTGGCTCCTGTGGATGTACTCGGTTTGTGGAAGTCGAACAGCGTGGGAATATTTGTTGTTGCTCCGGACGGAAGGAGGCCAGCATCATCGATGGGCTGAATGTCTGTAGCTCTGTGTTTCCCTCTCGCTCTCTGTGCGAGCAACACTCTTCCTCTCAGACTCGTATCGGCTTGCGAACTTCATTTGACATGATGTGATGCCGATTTTTGCTGTGTTGTCGCCATGCTGACGCATGCAGACGCCCTGTCTCCGCGGTCGGAGGCACTTACGCTATCTTACGTCTCGCAGCTGTACTGCCCGGAGGTGGGGTGGGGAGGGCGAGAATGGGAGTGTGCGGTGCGGTGGCTCGCCACTGCGCCTCGAGGACGAGCCCGTTCGAGGGCCCCTCGACACCTCGGACTTCGAGTTCGAGCGACGAAAGATAAACATCAAGGCACTCCGCGAGGAGGGGAGCTCAGAGAACAGTCGGTAGAGAAATGCTCATCGTAGTGGCTTTAGAGTCTGGAGTGACTGCTTCAGGAGCTGTGGCTTGAAGTTCTGTGCCTTGGATGTCAGCTTGAGAGCCTAATTGTGTGGAGTGGCTGCAAAGAAGTCGAACTGACGTGGGCGCAGAAGGAGTGCCAGGGCATGTGTGAATGACGGTTTAGCGCAAGCTTGATCCCGAAAGAAGCTTTCAGATCTGGTTGACGAGTCTGAGATCAGTTGTGGTAGGCGCCTCACTGGTCAGCTCCACCACAACTTCTCTCCTTCCCTCACCCCGCCGCGCCTGGTCGCCTCGCCAAGCAAGCACAACAAGCATAAGACTCAGCAGAAACAAGAGCTGAGGCACTACTACCCGGACCAGCCAGGGACTTGGCGAGTGCAAGAGTTCGACAGAGACTTCTCTTTTCGCTTGTGAGACAGATGCGTGTCACTGAATGCTTCCACTATATTAGTCTGCAATTGCGCCGTGCTCTATCGCGCGCTCAATTGACGATTTTCGGAGCTAGAGTTTGTGCCTTGCTGTTCACGGCAAGTTTTGCTACGCATTCCCAGCGAAAATCTGCTGAGATCTCACGCTTTAGTTTTGAGGACATTCTGCAACGACAGTCTGCCTAAGGCGGGAGCGCTACCTGGATCAGCAACTGCAGATGGGAGAAGAGTGCCCCAGGGCCCCCGCCGTTTTTCAGGGATGGCAGGGGTGCCAGGTCTTGAAGGGAGCGGCTTGGCTCCCTTGTCAACAGACGAGGTACAACGTTTCCTCCTATCGGCTGCTTGCTCCTGGCGAGTGGTGGCCCGAGAATGCCTTCCAGCGTGTTCAGCGCTAAAGCTGGGTTCCTGGCAAAGGCCCCAATACTCTTCAGACGAGGAGGAGGCTGGAACAGAGGGAGCAGGAAGCAGACTCCCGATTCCCTTTCAGCTTTCTTCTCTGTCCAGGAGCAAGCACCTCAATAGCCTGGTGTTTCAAGGACGCTGTGTTTGGCGTTACGAGGATTGAAAGCCTCGTGCGATCATTGGAAATCGTGGCACATCTGCAGTAAACGGCTGCATGGGCGGCTGTTTTGAGGAGGTCTGTCGGCAGACGTGGGAGCAGGCAGCATCGGATTGTTTGGTCAAGGCATGTACGTGCATGAAGGCGCAGAAGTAATTGACGACCTTCGAAGAAGCAGCGGGAAGAGTAATCTTAAGCATTGCTGGAAGATGTGCAGACTCGCAACTTTGCCACTGACCCATGCCAGGTCGACACGAAATGCCCTCAGTTGAGCGTTTCACCAGACCACTGCGGCTCGGCCCGGCATTCAAAGCGGCATTTGGTTGACGGCGTGAAATTGAAGCAGTTCTTGGAGTACACACTCAGTCTCGAACCTCATCGAGCCGTGCAGAAAGCTGAGCTTCATGCCGTCCATCGGTTGCGCCACAGGGCGCAGGGGGCTACCTGCGTTTGTTTGCACTACTCGTACCGTCTTATTAGTCTTACTGAGTTTCAGGATTGCTGGGAGCCTTCCGTGTGCCACAAGCGAAGCATGGTGGGGCCGCAGCTTCCGCAGGGACTTCCGACATGCAGGTTGTGGTCTCGTGCTCGGTCTGGAGCAGGCAGCATAGGTCTATTGTGAATATGTCCAGTACCATCGCAAGTGTCGCGCAAGTCCCCCGGTCAAGCGCAGCCTGGCACTCTTGAAAGAGTTAGCCAAGAGGAGTGAAAAGTCTTCTGTACAGGAGACGGCGACTGCAGTGAGCCTCGTCACTCTTCTGGAGAGCGGAGATCACACCTCTCGTGCACCATCGCAGCTGTCCGATATCTACCTGTCATAGTTCCTCTGAGCCCCGTCGTAACGCTCTTGATGCCCGAGATTTCCGACTCTTTACCCCGGCACCCAAGCACATCACCGATAACTCCGATAACCCTCAGGGGCATTCCCAGCCTCTGGCCGCCATGGCCCGAGCAGCGGATGGATCACAACCAGGATGGAAGCAGGGTATCCTTTCAGGGTGCTCTCATGGTCGTGCTCTCGTTTGTAAGCATGCGTGAACAGAACATCTTCAGCGCAGGCTTGTTGTTGGGTTTGGCGTGCGACGGACGCCTGCTGCACAAAAAAAATGGATGATTGCACTCTCCTCGAGGCCTTCGACTGGGAAGAGCTCGAGAAAGTCGAGGTGCAGTAGGGGGGCCAGGAAAGAAGATTTGGATTTTTTTGGGGGGGCTGCTCTGCGCAGGAGGCGCATCTCTGCGAGGAGGCGACGGCGACTCGAGACTCGGCTCTTCGCAGCGGCCTGCGGCTGGCGCGGCCAAACTGGAGCCAAAGCGAGCTCCTGGAACTGCAAAGGCAGTTTGGCATTTTTTTGGCTGGAGATTTTTTTGGATTTCTTCAGTCCTAGGCTTCTGGCCGCAGAGCGCAAGCTGGCTGGGGTGGGCATCCGAAGTGCCAAAGACTTGGGGGCTGCCCTGGAAGAGGCGGCAGCGAGCTGAGACATCAGCTGCCTTGCTTGGTCAACACACAAGCATTAACAATGAAACATGGTGTAATACAAACAAGCAAGAGAATCAATATTATAGTGGACAGTACAATATTGAACCACAATATAACATAATACATGTAATAACATAATAGGTTCTATTCAGTTTCATATTATGCGAGGTGGTATTTCAATATATTATTTTGATAGGTTTCACTACATTTGATTACATGTGTTTTGTGTGTTAGTAATCTCCTACCATGTTGTGTAGTAGTCTACTCTAGTCTAGTCTAGTCTAGTCTAGTCTAGTCTAGTCTAGTCTGGTCTATTCCAGTCTCTTCTGTTGTGTCGTGTTCTGTCCTATTCTATTCTAATTCTTATTCTGATTCGCGTTCTAGATCTTAGTCAAATCTTTATTCTGATTCTTAGTCTATTTCTTATTCTAATTCCGGTTCTATATTGCAAGTTCTAACTCGAATTCCAATTCTTACTAGTGTTTTGGTTTTTCTTATTGTTGTTGTTATTGTTTTTGTTCTTTTACGTATTCTTATTTTTATTCCTATTCCTATTGTCCCCATCCCTATTCCCGTTCCTGTTCCTATTCGCGTTCCTGTTCCTATCCCTGTCCTATTCTACTCTTTTGTTCTATTTCACTCCAGGCACACCTTTGCGTCACGTGTACATGTCCGTATGTTTGTTTCAGCCCAACATGTAGTCATGTAGCTGTAGATGTGGTATGTGTATGTACTTGTAATACTCTCATTGATTTTGTGCATTTGTGCAGGTTTCAACTTTCACATTATACTATGAATCGACCTACTCTATCTATCTATATCATTATTCGTTTTCTCCTCTCTCCAGTCTCGTTCTCTCTTTCTCGCTTTTTTTCTTTATCTTTTCGATCTCTTGATCTATCTATCTCTTTTTCTATATCTTGTTTTGTCTCTTCTTAACTGTCTTTTTCTATCTTTTTTCATCTTTCTCATTCTCTCTCTTTTTCTTTCTCTCTCTCTCTCTCTCTCTTTTTCTTTATTTCTTTCTCTCTGCGCTTTCGCTTTCTCTCTCTCTCTCTCTCTCTCTTTTTCTCTTTTTTTTCTCTCTCTTTTTTCTTTCTCTTTGCTATCTCTTTTTATCTTTTGCCATCACTTTTTCTCTCTTTCTCTCTCTTTCGATACTCGCATCGGATATTTAGTGCGTAGAACGTTCTTGCACTGGAGAGGCATCACTGGAAGTCCCACGGATAAACCATTTGCTTCAGCGAGCCGGATTTCGAGCGTTCCTGGCCAGCAACGATCATTAAGTGCAGATGAGTTTTCTAGTTCCGTCCCACTTAGCGAGCTTGTGTTGCAATGGCATGTAACAGCTAGTTAATCTGTTCGGGCTGTGGCTGAAGCTAGGTTCAGCGCTGATGCCGTCGCTGCTTTGAGATGCTCGTCTTTAAGTTGAATTGACCATGTTTGTCACAATTCCACCTGTGACTTGCTCCAGGTGTTGCTGAAGGTTTATGTTTGTGCAAGTGTAGCTATCTGCACACGGCTGCACCTAGGCCATGCGGAGAATCCCGCAGGGTGGTCAAGGCTAAACTTAGGAAAGGACTGATTGTCCCCACGTTTGCAGCTTGCGAAACGAAGTGTGCCTCCAAGATAACTCTGCTCGGTCAACAATGTCAGCGAGGCACACAAGATACAAAGGATTCCCGAATCGATGGCGATACACCATCTCAAAGTTGTTGGAACCAACATTCATGGAAAAGCTTGGCCGGTTGCGTAAAACCAGTGCTCCGAACTCCGGGTAAAGTTCTTTCATGAAAGTCAACAGACATGTTTCTGGTGGCATCGCATGCCAGGGTCACCCAGTTTTGCTCCCGACACCTGAGGACAAGTGTTTCTTGCTTCGTCTTCAGCAACATCGGTTGGCACAGAGGATGTAAAGCCAGCACTGCATGCGCCCACAGCGCCCGATGGAGGCCGGGTGCCTTTCTGGCCTGGCTCAAATTTTGCGAATGTCCCCTGCTTGCGAGGCAGTTCTGAGGACGAGGCTGGCTTCGACGAGGCGCCGCAAGGCGGACAACGCTCGGGTCCGGCAAGCTCTGCATGTTCCGTCCTGTGGCTGCAGGGGATCTCAGCGATTGGGCCGTCGTCCACGATCGCGTGGCGGTGCGAGCTGCTCCGAGCACTCAGGCCGAGGCCCACCGCAACGCAGGGGATGCCATCGACGGGCTCCAGTGGGTATCTGCCGACCATTGGTGGAGAAGCATAGAACAGGAGAAGAGAGGCACAAGACAAGTAGAAATGAACCAACGAAGAAGACGAAGAAGAAGCTGAGTAGAAAAGAACTGCTGCGGCCCTTTAGCGAGAGAAACACAGGCGCACTCGGATCCGTGATCCCCATTCTCTGGACGGCCAATGGGACTCGTATTGGTCGGCGTGGGAGGTTGGCAGGCTGCCAAGTCCCTGCTCTGTGGTGTACGAGCGTCTGCACAACACGATGCTGGAGTGCGGGCTGCCTTGTCGCGTTTCACAGAAGTTGCCATCACCTGCAGCTGTTGATCATCTGGAGTGTTCCTCACAGGCAGCATGTGAAGTCATTGTGAGCGCTGAGGGAATGGAAATAGTCCTGTTTGACTTAATTTGGTTTACCCTTGAAGCTGCACTTCTGTTGCTTGCATATTCGTTCTGCAGAGCCTGTGTGAATGCCGCACCCACTCCCAGCTCGCCGGCTGGGCAAGACAAAAGGAGTGTGCCTCCCTGGACAGGGGAAACCCGGCAAAAGAAAGAGAGAGAGTCTCGGGACGCAGCAGGGGGAGAACGAGGCCACTAGGGGAATGAAACTCATGCAGTCCTGAACCTTGAATCTTACTGTTCTCCTGTTAGTCCGTGTCTTGGAATTTCGGATTCCGATTGACGTCGGACTCAAGCCCCATGCAAGCAAGTACGCAAGCAAGAACGAAGTCTTGGGAGTGTGTTGATCAAGGAAGGAGAAGCTTGCAACTTCGAGCCACGGCGGGGAAAGGACGGACGCACGGCGCATGGTGTGCGGAAGGAAGGAAGATAGAACTGAGATGATGTCGGTTGGAAGTTTGTTGCTTGAAGCAGCAGCTCTTCCCTGCAACTGGGTAGGTACGAAGTTGCCTCATCCGCGATCCGGCTGGAAGTCCGATAGGGGGCTTCCGCTGAAGCGAGGAGGGGGACAGGCTTAGGGGGGCTCGTGCTGAGGGGACGGGGATCATCGCGCATGTTTCACGCTGACCCCGGACACGGACTAAGGGCGTACCACGGCGTGCAGGGAGGGAGGGCTTAGAGCTTAACTTCCCAAACGCCTCGCAAGCGAGCAAAAGGGGGACAGAAGGGGGGGAATTGTGTTGTGGCCTGAGCCGATCATCGGATATCCTGAATGTAGTGGCTGCAATTTCAGACCACGCGGTCTGTCTCGTACTGCCGAGCTGGCTTCCATGGATCCGAACGTAAGTGCCACAGACTTGCAAAGAAATTTCTGTTTCAGTTCCGGAGGGGCTCACTACCGCCCCTAAATCCCTGGCAAGCAGGCAAGCAGGCCAGCAAAGCAAAGCAAAGCAAAGAAAAGCAACGCAAAGCAAGCAAGCAAGCAAGAAAGAGACATCGGGCACTACAACTTCAATCCGCATTTGCGGTTCATAGCGCATTGCTGCTGGGACATACCAAGACCTGCAAGGACTTGCAGGCATGCCCTGGCGTGGGACACTGCCTCCTGAGGGTGAAAGATGTAAACGGGGGCCACCCTGTTCCTTTAGCAGCATCGTTGGGTGAGGCTTCCGGGCTTGCAGTTGTTTTTTGCCTTTGCCAGGCTTTGGGCGATCCTTGGCTGATCCAGCTCAGAACCAGCGAAGCAGCCATGAACTGTAGCATGAGAGGTCCGCCAAGGGCCACGCATGTGATGTTGGAACATAGACCGAGTCTGGACCAAGGTGCTAGTTCGTGGCCGCTTGGTTCGAGGTTGTCGTCGCGACATTGCTGGCGAATCGTTAGGGCCTCGAAGAGGACCATCTTGTGCTGTGAAGTGACGGAGCAGAGACGTGCTTCCGCTCGTCCGCTCCATGGGAACTCCGAGGTGGATTTCTGTGCGCCTAAACGACGCCGTCGGTGGGCCAGGCACTTAGCCTTTTTTCGCCGTTGCCTTGGTTTGTGTTTTTCGATGGGCAGGCAGTGAGAGTTTCAACATGTTCAAAGGACACGGGTTCATGTGCCACACTGAGGTCAATGGCCGAGCATGCTCCGCGAGAGTGGCGCATCTTGGTTCACGAGGCCGTCCGTGTGGTGTGATCTCGCAGTCCGCAAATTTTGAGGTTGCAATGCTTGTGCCTTTGCTTGGGACTCTGAGTGTAGTCCTATTCAGGAACTGCCCCGGGAATTCGAGTCTATTGGTTTTCGTTTTCGGCAAAAGTTTACTGTTGGATTCACTCCTTAGGGTTTTAGGTTCCTGTTAGACTCACGCCTTAGGGTTTGTCGTCTTAGGTACAAGGTTCTCGCTGGATTCACTCCTTGGGGTTTTCGTCTTCGGTAAACCCAAGGTTTTCGTCTTGGGTAGAAGGTTGTCGTTGGATTCACTGCTTAGGGTTTTTCCGTCTTGGGTAAAGGGTTCTCGCTGTTTAGGGTTTGGGTGTTGGGTGCAGCATCGGCCTGTTGTGTGAGTTCGTTTTGCTCGGAGTCGGAAGGGAGGGCTCCGTGGTTTGCGTGTTTAAACCGGTCTGGATATCTGTGGAGACACAGCGTGGCCGACATGCACTGAGTCAGATCAGTCTTTGCCGGATCTCGTGCGGAGGTAGCGCTGTGCCGGAGCCAGGCCGGCCTATCGATTTGCCATTAGGTGAAATTAGGTGGCCTGCGCTCGCACTCACATCTCGGGAAGGATGACAGCACCAAATTCAAGGCCAGCTGTCCGCAAGCCCTTGCATGAAGCTTGCTGTGATTGAAACATGCTGACATTGTCTGCCATGTGCCAATGCTCTGCAGCAGCACCAGCGCATGTTTGTGCTGTGGCTTGGGCAGGACATTCCTCAAAGAGCTGGGCCGCTGATCGGCTGGCAACAGGGCAGCTGGACCCGCCGCAGCTTCCAACGCGTGTGTCGTTTAGCAGCTCTCAGACCGAGCTTTCGCTTTGGCCAAGCTGTTGATCGTAACGTATTGAAAATTCACACATGGCTTAAAGCAAACAAAAAAATAGTCACGTGTTTCATCAACCAACGAAAGCATGCGGCCATTCATTGCATTCATTTTCTGATTTTTGGTTACAGCAATGAAGTAAAGCACGTGTGTTACGTTGACTCTGTTAATTACAGTTTACCTTGATGAGCGAACCGTGTGAGCGGAACGAAAGACCAATTAAACGATCAACGCAACACAATGAAATGAAGAAGTGCAAGCGTCATTGCGTTCATATTTGATTAGTGGCCTTGGTGAGCAGGATTAAGAGAGATAAGTGAAACCCGCGTGCTTTTTTGCTTACGCTTATTTCACTATGTCATGTTTCTTTTGGAAGTTTCCCGTTTGCCAGCCAGCCTCTTGAAGACATTTGCGAGACGGCCGAGCATTCAACTTAGTTCCTGGCGAACAGGACCAAAAAATGCAAAGAGAAGACTTGTTAGACAATGCACACATGTCGTGGGTTTGCTTTTATTAGTTTAAGCTTTTTCCCAATAGTAGAACTAACTAATAATGTAAAGTGTGCCTTCTCTTGTTCGCGTCGTGTTGCTGACATGTGCTTTGTAGGATGCGCCTGGGTCACAAGTCTGGTTATGTGCGCATCGACCGTGGAGGCGGATCGGTATGTGTCCTGTGACATGAGATCCCACGACTGTGATCATGTCGTATCCTGGCCACTCTGAGATCCTCCTCTGACGCCACCGAGCCTTTCGTCGAGTGTTGTTGTGCTGTCTTCGGTTTTTCACAGCAGAGTCAATGCTCGGCAGTGCCCTTTATGCCACTAGGCTATCAGATGGTTCGTCGACGAAGCTTCCTTGCCTGACAGGTGTCGCAGAGCTTCAAGAAATGCCAGAGAGGTGTGGGCACAGCTTTGCCGACAGCAATCCTGCTATGTGTCAGCGGCCGAGATGTGCAGGATGGCTTGGCTTCTCACATCCGGCGACTCAGTGGGGCTTGGTGCGTCTCAAGAGCGAGAGCGAGAGAAAGAGAGAGACAGGAAAGGGTTAGCTCAGACCGAGTCAATATGTGGGGTGAACTGAGAAGGGGGAAGGGAGGAGGAGAGGGACTCTGTTGTGACCTCGGTTCAGGCTTGAGGCTTGCGCTAGTCCGAGGTACCCTCCTGGCTCCCTTGGATGCTGCTGCAGACGTGGAGCAGGGGACGCAGATCCGTCGTGACTCGCCGCATTGGAGGCAAGTCCAAGCCGGCTCCAGAAAGAGTTTGCTCATCAAGCGTTCAGGTGTTCCCGGCCGTGGACTCTCCCTCTTCGCTACGAAAGACTTCGACCAGGGTCGCTTTCCATGACTCAAGCTTTCTGTCATAGACCTTTTTCCCCCCACGGCGCCGGCTCAGGAGTGGCTGTGCTCGAGGACCGGCCTTTTTTCAGGCGCCCAAGCTTTGGGCAGCTCAAGAAGCACCGCGGCCTGGACGGCCTGGACGGCCTAGTTCTGCCGTTTTGGTCCCTCCTTATCCTCCTTCAGACTCCGAGCCCAGGAGTTTGCGACCGCAGGTGCATGTGAATGCATCTCAGGTACCATAAACTGTTCTCGAAGACCTTCCAGAAGCAATATGTGACTTGGCTGCTGGTAGTTGGCACGGCATAGCGGCATAACTGCTTAGCTGTTGGGTGAGAGTTTATTTTTTTTCAGGAGAAGATCAAAGCGCCCTTGATGCTTCCGGGCAACTCTGGAACGCTTCAGAGCTTTGTCTTCGCCTCCCCTTCCATGCTTCTAGTCATAGTTTGTCGGACTGAGTTTCCAGGGCAGGTGGACTTCCGGAGAATGTGGGGGCAATCTCCGGCTCCACACAGTCGAGATTGAGTGTTTGCAGTTTCCGACACGGTAGCCAACTTTGCAAATGGTCAAGCCGTCTCAGCATGAAAGCCTAGGCTGCGCAGCGCTGTGGCATTTGCATCCTCGAGCCGTCTCGTCCAGCAGACACTAAGACAAAGAAATGGCACAGGAATCTTGAGAAGGGATTGATGCTTGCGCAATCCTGGCCTGTCAACTCTTCAAGCTGCTGCAGCCGCAAGTGTTTGCTCAGGATGATCCTGGAGTTGCACCACCCGAGACTCGACCTCGCGCACCCCATCGTGCTCTGCTCTCAGTGGTGTTATGCCCCGCTTTCAACTTTTCATCAAGTGTGGCAGTTGATAGGGGATCTTTGCATGGAGATCGAAATCTGAGAGCCTCCAGGTCAATTGCTGGGGAAGTGGCAGCCTTGTGCGCCCGCACTGTGCCAGAATGTGCGGAGGTCGAAGCGGTGCTCCAGTGTCTTGACAGATTTAAATCTGCGTCTGAGTCGCGCTTGCGTGGTCGTTCCACCCCCAAGGAGAGCGATCCTAGCCATCGAGATGAATATTTTCACAGGCGAGTGTCTGGGCCGCACCGGACGGAAAAGAGCAGAGGCGGCTCAGGGGCTTCCCCAATCCTAAGCGTGTATGCAATGCTTTGAGCTGATCCAAACAAAGGAGCTGCTTCCTCACCATCAGCCGGCTGAACCACAGCAACTGGGACATCTTGATGAGGTCTTAGTTCTTTCCGCTGCACTTGAGACCTGAAGAATTGTCAAGCTGCATGAGCTTAACACTTATGCTTGACTGTGGCTGGCCCTTTGTATGCTGGGCCCTGACACAGATTTCTCGACAAGGTTGCTTTCCGAACGTCGTATTCGTCAGTGGCAAAAGGCCTGCAAACGTGGGGAAAGAGCAGTCGCCCAACCGTGCAGCCGTCGCGGCATCAGAGATAGAGATGATCATGAAAGCACGTTTTTGCATGTTGGGGCAAACCTTGGCCTTGTCCGCCTGGCTTGTGGGTGGAAAGTATGTTGTGTGTGCTGCTATCACGTAGAGGCATTTCCGGTCACTGAAGCCAATTCAGGCCGGACAAGAGTGGCTTAGCTGCACAGGAGATCGGTCTTGGAAAGTTGCACTGGTCAGTGGGGTGCTTGTGTTCTCTTCTCCAGCTCGCAGGGTGTCCTCGTGTTGCAAATGCTGCTGTTCTGCTGCCACATGTCGGCCATTGATAGGCTTCTTCACAGCTATCTGGGCCGTGAGCTGCTTGGCTTGTCTTGATCTGTGCTGGATCCTGGAATCACAAGTGTACATCTGGTTGGCTTGATTCAGAGTTGTCGTTAGGCATGCAGATGTTGGATGGGCGAAGAATTCATGATGAGGATGATGCGCAGCTATACTGCTTACCACCTAGCACTTTCAGGGGCAGCGATAGTCTTGCTGCACCAGGATGACAGAGGTTCATACACCAGATCAAGATCAAGACATTGCCCCGAGAGCTCTCAACTGCACATCCGTTGTTTGTCTCATGTTCCCCTACGGCGTGGCTCGTGTTTCAGATATTAGTTTTGCTGTGGGTTTGGTACAAGGCTTCTCCTTCCCATTGAGCTTCGTCGTCGCCATCTCTGGCGGTCAAAATGCTTTCAGTGCGACTGTGAGCGCTGTGCTGCGGAGGAGCTCCATGTGGCAGCCATGTGTAGTGGTTGGTTGGGGAGCAGCTGAGCTGCAGGATGATCCACTTCGCGCAATTGCCTGCAAACGCTGCGCAGAGCAGGGGCAGCGATGGGAGGCAGACCTCATGCAGCTTTTGGGCCATGCTGGTTTCGTTGCAATATCAGCACCTTTTCAGATGCCAACTCTAATCGGGCGCCACAGGCAACATGGCGAGGAAGACCTTTCGGCACTGTCGTTTCAGGTCTGTGTGTTTGTGTGATTTCTGTATATGTCCTCTAAATTCTCACTACGCGCTTGCGCTTATTTTTTGATTTGGCTTTGCTTCTGAAAGCAGCACCGACTCACCCCACGAGCCGCGAGGATGATGGTTTCACAGATTAATCATACCTGTGATACTCTGTTTGTCTGTTTGATTATCGGCAGGATTCTTCGGAGCATGGGGGCACATAACCTGCGGATGCGAGCCGCAAGAGTCATTCACGAATCGTCTACACAGGCACCGCCGGAAATGTTGACATCTCTTAGAACCTTTCGTGTTAATTGCTTGCTGATCTTGCTGGTTGTTTGCACTTGATGTTGATTTTGGGCATGAGGGAAGGTGGCTGCTAGAGCATCCTCCTCCCACGGGCAAAACAGGTTCTCGCAAGCTACAGCTTGCTCTCAGCAGGGTGTCAGGGTCGGGACCTAAGCCTAACAAACCCTCACATAAAACAAAACTTGTCTCATGCATCGCCCTGAACGATGACACAACATTAAGTGAGGAATGACGCCGTGACTAACATGCGGAACCGTTGTCGTCTTCCTGCTACCACGTGGAGGATTCACTGATTCACCCTGTTTTGCGGAGGTTCTGCACTCGCCAGGGGTTTGGCTCCGAAGCTCCCCCAGTGTGGAGCCCAGGGCACAGAGATCGTTTCTTGCTGTGCTGTCGCCTTGCTGCTCGTGGCATCTCGCGGCCAGGCACCGACTCTCTTCAGAGATGCTTTCTGAAGACGGGCACGCGGTTGAAGGCACCAGTGTAGGGCTCCTACGCACTGCCATGCACTGCCTTAAAACCAAAGAGCAGGCCTGGTCTGTGGGAGTCACTAAACGATGGACTGCGCACCATGGCCCTTGATGGGCTCCTATTGGAGCGATACCAGCCCCTGGCAGGCGCTTCCGCAGTCGGAGGAGGGGCCATCTGGCTGGATCCTTGTGGAGGCCTCTTCCTGCCCAACCTGGTGCCTTGCCGCCGCAAGGGTGTCGCAATGCGAAGCGGATTTGCATGGGAGGCGTGGCCAGAACCGGCCTCCGAAGATATCAAGGACATGGCGGGCACGTCAGAGTTTATGACATGCTTCTGCTTAAGTTCCTTGTTGTTTTCCTGCAAGAGATCGACAATCTGAAACCCCACCCCGAACCACAATTCGAGCATCAAGAGGACACCGGCTGGGTTCTCACCGACGGCCGGAACCTGGCACCTTCGATCAACCGCATGTCCGGCGCACGGTCATGGACATTGCCTGCTTTGTAGCCCGCCACAGCACTGCAGCCGAGCTTCTCGATGCTTTTCCTCCAAAGATGCTTGCCCGCGTCGATCAAGGCTGTGCGTGCAGATCTCCGAGGATGGGCGGCAGGCTCCATGGAGGGGTGCCGTGTCATTTGCATTGACCAGCAGGTTGGGGTGTGACACGACTCATACATTATCTAGACCCAGGACGCGTAGGGTACGTTTGCCCCGAAGTGTTTGGTGCAGACGGCCTTATTCGAGAAAGTGGTGCTGGCAGGTCTCGTGCAGTAGAAATCCAGGAGCGATGAGTTTGGGCATTCGAGGAGACTCAGCGTGGCATGGACGGACGACACGAGAAACTGTTGCGATGTGCTTTGGCAGTTACAAGTGGGGCTTGGAGGGTCGATTCGGGAGGTCGAACGCTGGAGTTGTTTCGAAATGGGAACGCGTCGAGCAAATGACTGCTCGTTCCGAATTTTTTGATCGGTGCGTTTCAGTCACTGTGCTAAGCCGAGCCAGGAAGTGTCTGTTTGCTCGAAGTCTTCCCATTTCGAAACAGAGAATTCCAAAGTTCAACCTTGCGAACCGATTCCTCAAATGCATAGCTGCAGAACCCCGTCGCAACAGTTTCTCGTTGCGTCCATACAATATTATTCTGACGAATGTCCAAAATAATCGCTCCTGCTAGCTTTTTGTTGGGTCTTTGCTTACCATCGTCGTCATCGCGATTCAAACGGAGAATCCTGGGGCAAACGTGCCTGACGGACCCTAGACCTAGATCACCGACGATGTCTGACATCTTGATATTGCAAGGCCAGTGATGGTTTCGACGGAGCGGCAGTCGCATGGAGCCTTGATTACACTAACCGCAACTTCAGTAAGCGGTGTGTGGACATTTGTTCTTGTAGTAGTTCCCTGGAGTCCATCAGTGGGTTACCTGCATCGAGGAGTCCTGGGAGGGCTTTCTGGGACCTGGCGTCTCTCATGTTCCTCGGAAGCTTTTATTGTAGGCCTGACGCAGTGATTCTTCTGGCGCATTGCCTTCTCGGAGGCTGCTGCCCGCAGACGAGCAGAATCCGGTGTCTCCGGAAGAGGAAGAGGAGGAGGAGCGTTCCGTTCGAAACGAAGCTTCCCTTGAACTACATAGCTTGAGAGGATGCAGTGGCCCGCAACGCTCTCGACGGGATGCCGCGCCCCAGCCTCGGCCAAGGGCGCCGGAGGTCGTCGAGCGTCATTGCCGCCGCATCCCTTCCCGCCAGGAGGGCTGGAGCTTCCTACGGCAGCCTTCGAAAGCCGGGCCTTCACGCGCCGCTTCTCCTTATGCCTAGCAGCTTTGCGAACGCTTCGAGGCTCAGATGTGCCGTTGGCCGCTTTCGACGGCAAGAGCTGGACCGGCCGCACGGTAGGCACTGACTGATGCACGGTCGAGCAGTATAAATTTCTCCCACCACCGCCACCACCACCGGCCGACGACTGCAGCAGCAGCTGCTCCGAGGAGTCCGACAGTACGACGACGACGATGCGTTAAACGACGCCTTGTACTGCCAGCGTCACTGCTGTCAATGCCGCGCTCACAAACCCGTGGCCATCGTGACAGTGGCGTTGTCGTGCTGATCTTTTGGTGGTTGGGTTTTGAGCTAGAGCATTGAGGCTGGCTGGTCTGGCTGGACAAACCCAGAGCACATTCAACTTCCCTCCTCGTGCTCTGCCTGCGTCCTTCCGCTCTTACGGTTCGAGTGCCCGTGTCTGAATACTCTATCTGATTAGGCTTGGTGCAGCTCTTTCATCACGGAGAGAGTCCATCTTCCACCCGTCGTTGTGGTTGCTGGATTCCTGACCATACCCAGGGAGGCGAGAGCCGCATCTTGCCTCCCACATGCTGCCAGATTGCGGGATGCGGTTCTAGCCAACGGGCATGCGGTCGAGGCGCATGACAGGGGAGCGATGTGTCAAAGCGTCCCCTGAAAGCAGGCAGCACATGCAGGTCGCAGGTGTCCCAGGTGGACAGGGGCGGTTGGCATTGCTGGAAAAAAGGGCCAGCCGTCTTCACACACACGGCTACAGGTTTGTGGTGCGACATTGCTTGTTGGATCGCAGCATCGGCCGACACTGCTGTTCTGCCACGCCTCTCTGCTTCTGACGGTCATTGCGGTAGACGTCGCTTTGCGGGCATTTGCCCGAGGTGACGAGAGCTGCATAATCCCGCCCCAGGAGTACCCCGGCCCCGGTTCTTTTGACATTCCTGTCAGTGTCAGAGCTTTGTGGCAGAGATTCCGTGTGGTGTCGTGGCTCAATTCATGAGGAGCAGATCATTGGTTGATACAGCTGTGCTGCCGAGCCGACCCGTCTCATTTCCGTTTTTTCGTTGAAGCCAAGCCTTGCAGCGTGTTGCAACAACGCAGCTTTGCATGGGTGGTCCCATGGTCAGAGAAACAAAACCGTTAAGTTTACAACCTGTTCATGCCGATGTCTGGACACCGCAGGGCGTAAGTCATGGGAGCTGAGTCTGAGTGAAACGCCGAGACCAAATTGATACGCATCTTCTTACTTGAATGTTGCAGGAGATGCCCGAAGTGTGGACGGCCGCCGAAGAACGAGGACCTGTACTGGGGACCTTGGCAAGAGCTTCTTTTCAGTTGCATAGGTCAGACGGGCACAATGCAAACGTTGCAAGAACGTGATTTTCTCCTCGGCACCAGGAGGAGTTACAGTCTGTGGAGCCGCTGCTGGGAAGGCTCGCAGAGAAGACGCCGCTGGTCGTGGATGGGGCTGTCAGACAAGACTCTTCAGAACTGGGCTTCCCTTTCTCAACTTCGCTTCCTGTGAGAAGCATTGTGCAAAATCAGTCGGCGATGACATGTCGACTGTGAAGAGCTGCTTGAGGTTCTTTTCTCCATCTATGACTCCGGCACTCGGTTCCGTGCAGGGTGGACTGCGAGGGTCGGGGCAGACCCTAAAGATGGTATCTTGGTGGAAGAGAGCATACGCAGCATGTGTCAGCATGTGTGTAGTGCTGTAGGTGAAGCGCAGCTTTGTGCGCCGTGCACTGGAGCTAGCGGCCACAGTGTCATTGGTGCTCGGTCCGCAGCACTGGACTGTCGCTTGCTTGCATCGGATCAATGATCAAGCTATCAAGCTTCGGCTGCATCGGATGCTGCACTTGCACCTGCTCTTTCAGTTTCTCAAACGAAAGGTACACTGGGCTCGGCTGCTGGTGGTCGACCTGTACATCTCAAAAATGAGTGCTTGCCTTGGTGCGTTTGTTGTGAAGCCTATCTAGACTGCACTACCGTTGATGATAGAAACCCTACATTACCTTGAGGACCCTAAACTATGGGAATTATGGTATATTCCTTTTTATGGGTAATGCAGGATTCACATCGTCAACCGTATCACAAGCATCACTAGCATCATGGCAGCATGAACATGTGCTTCCAATCTGCTACTGAGGCTACGCCCCGCTGGGTTCCCGGCGGGTTGAAATGGCTGCTGCACTCTTCTCTGGCCTGGAGGTAGAGACCTGTGTCGTGGCCGCAGTTTTCTCATCTTACCCCGCTAGGAGCTCTGGGAATGGCTTGCTTCCCTGCGGCTCGCACACAACCCGAGCTGCTTCCTGGTTACGCGGATCCTCGAAGCGCTGCTCGGCATCCAACGAAGTTCACGTTGCATTCGCAGCATTTTTGGACTTACACATTGCCTCGTACTGTACCGAGGCTGCGATTGGCAGGCAACGTGAGAAAGCAGAGTGGTCGGGCTTGGTGCTCCTGATGTCTTTGGCAAAGCACCCACATTCTGCACATCGCGAGGGGCTGGCTCGGCTGTTCTCCTTCCTCCAGAGATCCAGACCAAAGCAAGGAGGCTCCTCGGCATGCACTTTGCTGAACCCATCTTCGGAGATGCCCCCGTACCCTGAGTCGGCGCAAGGTTACAAAGCCTCGTGGACAACTGCGAGAAGCAGGCCGATTATTTCTCAGGATCGGCAGGGCCCGTCAGGGTCAAAGCTTCTTACAGGGGACAATCGATGCGATTACTTGGGGGTCGCAAAGAATGTCCCGCCGAACACTCGGCAAAAATCCTGGTGAACGCCGGGCAAGTACGGTTGCACAGGCTAGCGTGTTCGTGCCTTGGCAAGCTCGTCGCTAACCGCTTCGTGCAGTGTTTTGTCGCCCAGTCCTTATGCAGCTGTTTCTGTGTCAGGTTCTTATCAGCGTGATTTGCTGCTCCTGCTGCTGCTTCTGACTCCCGGCAGGTTGACATTCTCCCCCTACGGCCATTGATTATCGATGGCAGCAACTTCCTGGCAAGGGTGGACTGAAAGTAGTCTGAGTGTGTCCAGCAGAACTTGGAGGGAAGCAGAGCAGGGTATCTCATGCGTGCAGGTACATCACTCTTTCAGCCTTTCAGCCAACGCTGACCAGGTATCTCCTTCCAGTGACCACCACCGTTTCACGAACTTGCACAGCGCTTTGCTGCTCGCAACCGACTGCAGCGCTGGCAGCTGGCCAAAGAGATGCCGTCAGTCTGCCAGTAGAAAAGAAGCTCGAACACCTTGCATGTCGCCTGGAGGTCGGTCAGACAGGATGTAAGAAGTTGCTGGATTGCAACTCCGACAACCCAAACGTGTGCTGATCGATGTGCACGAGACAAGGCCGTGCGGCCCAATCCGACAGCCAAGACCATGATACAGATACAGGCCGCAGAGATGGCCTTCCAGACCAGCTTTCGGATCCATCTTCAGATAGCGAATCCTGACCTATCCACAGCAAGACCTCAGCTGCAGCGTTTAGCACCCTCCAGCATCTCGATGTCTCTGGATAGAATCCACGACGAAGCGGCCGAAGATGGTCGTCACGGCCTCTGCAGTTGTGGTGCATGCCAAGCTGAAAGGCGTCTGAGGCACGGCGTCGTGGAATCAGCCCACGTAGCTTGAACACAGCCAGCTCGACGAAGCCAGGTAATCCTCAAGCAAAGGTCGTGATGCCGCCAAACTCGGCGCGAGCCTCTGATGAGGGTTCAGATTGGCCTTAGCTGCTAGATCGAAACCTCGCTGCACTTGCCAGCCCGGTTCTGAGGACTGGGACTCCAACCCCGAGTTGGAAAGTGCTGTGTGGCAGGCCCACAACCCACAGATCCGCCTCTGACTCGTACAGCTTGGCCTTTGTTCAAGGCCTCACAGAGACTTTCGCCGGCGGTCTGCCTGCCGACGTTAATGGTTGTTGATGATCGGAGTTGGATCTTGAGATGCAGCGCCTTGTAGCAGATTGGGAGCAGACATAGCTCAAACAGCAGGGCCGTTGATCGTCGCTGTACTTCCGCTACTTGCTGTGCAGATGGCCAAGAAGATATACGGATTCATGAAGCGGACATGGAGCACCGCCGGGCTCCCAATGCTGTGACTCTGGACGGGGCGAAAGCTCTTGGGGCCAAGCAAGGCGCTTGCGGAGCTGCGGAAGGACGACAAGGATCCCGACCTGTGTAAAGGTTCGTAGATTCCCAAGCCGCTAAGCCGGCCCGTGTTTTCTCCGTGAGGCACCTGATCGGCCCGAGGCGCGGGAAGATCCCGGGCTCGTGCTTGTGCCTGGGACAGCTCTTGTCGTTGTCAGACAGGGTGTGCCAGTGCCAGGATCGTCGCACCCACTTCGTCAGGGCGCGGCAGCAAGACTAGCCCTAGAAGATGGCAAGAGATGGTAAGGGACGGGCTATCACAGGATGATATCCTTCGTGTCAGTCAATCTGCTTTCCGAGCTGCTGCGATGCTTTCTAGTAGCATCTTGTACTGTGTGCTCTTTGCTTTACAAGGGTTTGCGAAATCCATGTTGCATGAAGGCATGGATTTCCGACACTCTGTGGAGACTGTATCAAGCCGGTGACAGCCCGTTCCTTACTTCATTTCTGCCTTGAGCTTGCTGTTCTAGTGGTCATAGCCTCACACACTGGTCAGCCTAGACTGGTCTGCGGATGCTTCTAGCATGGGGATCGACACCGCGGAGGCAGGGAGGTGAAGCCTCGGCACTGACTTCTCAAAGCCTATTGCCGTGTGTCAGGCAGAGGACATCTTCAGTAGAGCCGGGGGGCTAAGCATGCCATTTGGCCACATCAGTATGATCATCTATGATCACGCAGAAACACACTCGGCAAGGGACCCTCAAACTTGTGATGCCGCCTCTTCTTGTTCACGCGAAAGTCTGTGGCGAATGACCTGGAGTCTGAGGTGCTTTCAAAGCCTCGTGTGCTCCCTGACGAGGCACGCAGCTAGAATGATGACAGATGATGAAAGCGTGGTTGTGAAGGGTAGAGCGGATTTCTGACAGGCAGGGGGACGCTTGCCCGTTCCACCGCGACAGTGGCACGTCAGGGCGCCTGAAAAGATAATCAGAAGATGAGACATGAGATTTCGGCCCAACGGACAGAGTGTGCAAGCAGCCTACTTCTACGCCGCCGCCCAAATGTCATGTCTTCCGAGGTGGTGACCCAGGCCGTGGAGGACAGAGCCAGTACGAGAGAGAGAGTAAGAGAGAGAGCGAGAGAGGGGAAACCCCTCTGCCTCTAACCCTGCCGAAAGAAAGAGCGAAAGAGAGAGAAGCGAGAGAGGATTAGGTGTTTAGGGTTTTTTGTTTTTTGGGGCCTCGTTTCTAAAGTTCATTCTGGCAAAAAGATGGAAGTAGTGGGCCCAGGCTAGGAGACAGAAGTCGATCACCTGCCGTCGGGGGGTTGGGAGCAAAAGATCCAACCGTTTCAATCTTTTTTGTAGTGTGGGGGGAAGGGGGGTGTGGGTCGACAGCGACTTCTCTTTGGTTGTGCTGAAGAAGAGTGCGCCCCCGCTTGTGGGGCGAATGGTGAAGCACAAGGGAAAACAATGCGACTGCTGCCACACCAGCAAAATGAGGCAAAAGCCCCTCGCTTCACTCAGCAACAGTGGTTTCTCTGAAGAAGAAGAAGCGCAGTAGTTAACCGGAAGAAGCCCTCAATCGCGAAGCCCTGTCCTCTACCCTGGCGAAAGAAAAGAGGATTGCTTCTAAATGCCAAGAAGCAAGCAAAGCGAGACCGGAAAAAGCGCAGCGCGAGGACACCTTCGAGGAGCTCTCCGAGGCAAAGCCGCGTCTGCCGGACTTCCGCGTCGGGCCCCCTTTCTTTCTTGACGAGGCCAGGGTTGTGGATGCGGCCGAGAGGAAGAAGAAGCGAGACTTGGAGCACATTGTGCTGAGCCACCCGAGCCTGTTAGGCTGTTAGGCCCTCTTAGAGCACTGCGGTCTGTTTGCGTTTTGACCGTCGCTGGGCATGCTTGTTGGTGTTTCAATCAGATTCGGCTTTGATCCCAGGACCGGGAAAGCCGAAGCCCGCGAAAGGCTCGCAATCTTGTGATTGGAGTTTCAATGTGAGCAGAGAAAAGCCAAAGTGCGGGCGTGACTCTTTCGCTGGGAAACTTGATCCTGGTTTTCGTTCACATGTACATGCAAGCACGTACCGCTGACAGCTCCTCAGAGTCAAGATAAAGGTGCGAGGTAGATCGCTTCATGGTAGCGGAGATCTTCGGAGTTCAAAGCTACCCGCCATGGCCCAGGAAGCACCTCTTCTACAGCCGGCGGCACCAGCTGCAAACGGTCCTGCACCCGGGCCTGTCACCAACGCGGGCGGCCTGATTGATACCAAGGCCTATCGGAAGCTCAAGAGCTTTGATGGCAAGGAGGAGCACTGGTCCACATGGAGCTTTGTGGCCCGTTCCTATCTCACCTGGCTGAGCCTTGATTTCGCTAGCTTGATGGAGATGGCCGAGAAATGAGCGGGACTATGCGGCTGCATGCGTTGAATGCAACGGCCCCCTGGCGCAGAGCATGGAAGGCAAGGCCCTTTCGATCATGATGAAGCGTGGCGAAGTTGAACGACTTCGAGGCATGGAAGGCCTTGCTGGATTCATACCAGCCCGAGGGCGCACCAGCATGCGGCTGGGCATCGTCAGATCTGAAGAAGTTTACTCGCGACTGGCTGCAGAGTGGCGTCTCTTACAGCAACACCGGGGAGATTGCGAACCACGCCGGGGCAACCAAGGACCTTCGCCAATGGATGTCGGCGCGATCGACTACGGCAAGAAAGGAGGTGGGAAAGACATGGGCAAGAGGGGCGAGAAGGACTACGGCAAGCAAGGAGCTGGGAAAGACCAGGGCAAGAAGGGCGGACACACGACCCGGTTCGAGGGTGAATGTGGGTTTTGCCACAGGTGGGGGCATCGTCGGCGAGATTGCTGGGCAAAAGCTGCCGAAGGGAGCCAGCAAAGGCAAGCAAGGACAAGGGCGGGAAGCGGCGATTGAAGGCCAGGCCGAGACCGGGACAGCAGCCGCAATCATCTATGACCTTGATGGCTCCGAGGCGGACAGCCAGGAGAGCTATGCCGAGGCAGGGGCGGAGGTGAGTTGAGTTATGGTCGTCACTGCAGCGCTGTGCCCCTATGACCTGGTGACGGACGAACGAGTTCGATGAGGTGAGCAAAGTCACCCTGAGGGATGTGTCCCGACGGACACTCAGCCATGGTTTGGCAGCGACGGCTGGCATTTGGAGTTGTCACGGTCGAGGGGAAAGAGATCACCATTGAGGGCGTGTTCCAGGTGTTGGTGCTGGAGGCACTCACATATGGCATCAGGACGGCCAACGCTTCCCCTTGTACATCCAAAGCAACACGACTTACTTTAAGGTGAAGAACGTGCAGGCGATCCCGTGGAAAAGGCTCGCGGTCCGCGGGGATGACTAGGAAGCCTGGGAGCAAGCGGGCCAAGACGAGACACCAGCACACCGAGCAGCCTTGAAATCTCGCATGCTGCTACCACGCCGAAGCCGGCGACCCCAAGGCCCAGGATGGACCGGGACCAGTTTAGACGTGGACGCGAGTGGAGAAAGCCGAGCGCGAGCGCCAGAAGTGCGTGAAGGAGAAGCCAGGCCAGGCAGAAGCAGCTACGCGAAGGAGCCGGACAGCCAGCGCAAAGCCCCAGAGCAGCAAAAAAAACCCCATACCAGGACAGCGAGCTTGGCATAAGTCTTTTCGAGGAGCTTGCCGGGAACTTCCGTGCGATCTCCGCGTCCTTGCTATCCATCTGCATGGTCTTGGCCTGCTGGCTTCGCCTCCTCACCTCCGCCTAATCTCCTTATTCCTCGCAGCGTGGCCTTCGTATCCTTGATCTGCCTCCGCCTCCCATGCACAGTCCCGGTCTTGCTGATTGGTGTCCTGAACACAGCCGTCTCGGAGTCTCGCCGAAAAAGGGGACCTCGCCCATGTAGCGGGTGTCAAACTGGTACCCCTTAGGCCGTCCTGCCGTTGGCTTTGGTGTCAAAGCAGCTCCTGAGAGAGGCTACCCAACGCACCATCCAGCAGGGCCATGGCTCGTCAGACTCCGGGTGGCATAGCGGCTCTCCAGGTCATAGCGGTGTGTCGGGACGTCCGTTTTCAAGGTCTTTTGGAACGCCCCGACCCTGCCCATGGATTGCGATGGGTACCTCGGCGCCAAGGTGGCCGAGGAAGCCGAGACCAAAGCGCCAAAGAGTCCGAGGAGGCGAAATGGCTGAAGATCGGCTGGGTGGTCGCAGTCAACCCTTTACCCGAGTACGACCCAGCATGGGAGGAGGCCAAGGGCTATGAGAATGACGACGAGATGGTTATCCAGGACCTGGGCGACTGAGCCGAGAAGATTGCCAATTAGGCAAGCAGGAGGAGCTCAAGAAGATGGACAAGTGTGCCACATACGAGCCGAGACCAGCTTTGGACGCGAGGGGGAAGAAGATCCTTGTGCGGCCCAGCGGGAGGATCAAATGCCGGTACTGCTTGGGAGACCTCAAGAGCAAGCAGCAAGAGCACAAGAGATGATGTATTTGCGCTCGCATCCTCGAAGGCGATGGTCCGGATCATCGACACCATCGGCGTGAAGAAGGGCTACGTCTTCTTCACGATGGACGCGGACTTTTGGCAGATTCCCTTTGACGAGGAGTTTTTTTGTATCCTCCAGAGGAGTGGCTTGAGGAGAGGCGCCGTCAAGGCCTCCAACCGATGTCGTTCGGAAGCTGCTCAAAGAGAGGTGTGGCAGGCCTATCGCCGGGCAGAAGTTCGTGGACTGGGCGGTGGTGGAGGGTTTCGAAAGATCCTCCATTGCCCCATAATTCTTTCACCGCCGGGACGATATCAGTATGGAGGTGCACATGGATGATTTCTATGGCAATGGGCCCGAGAGCGAAGTGCTGAAGCTCCGGGACCGCATGGTCAAACGGATCGTGATGAAGTTCCAGCACCTCAAGCGCATTCAAGCGCGTGAGGACGGTGACCGAGCACGGGATGTTGGTGAGGCCGAACCCAAAGTATCTCAAGGGCATGCTTGAGATTTTGGGCATGGAGAATGCAAACTCAGCGCCCACACCTGAAGTGCAAGGAAAGATCGACGAGCCAGGCCACTCCTGGCCCCTTGATGAAATGAAGGCCTGGGAGTGTCGAAACTGTGTGGGGAAGGCTTTGTACCTTGAAAGTTCCGGCCCGGTTGCCAGCCCAGCACGTGGTGCGGGAGCTGACAACAGAAATGAAGGAGCCAACGACAACCGGGCATGGAAATACCAAGGCTGGCGCGCTACTTGAAGGGCACGGCTGAGTTCGGAGTGTGGCTGCCAGCGGCCGGGGACACGGACTACCTGGACGGCTTGTCGGACACGTTTTCTTCCTTGGAGGGTGCCTCAGTGGATCATACAGCCGCGGGCTGGCCATGATCTGCCTGAGCTCTGGTGAGGAGTGCAATGGAGATGTGATTGCAACGGCCGAGAGCATCTTCTACAAGGAGATTTTCGAGTTCTTCAGGATCCCCGTGGAGCTGAGGATGTGGCCGGACAGCGCTGCAGCACGAGGAGTGTTCCAGCATGAAGGTGTGGGACGCATCAGACACCTAGGGGCCAAGAGCCTTTGGGTGCAGGAGGGGTTAAAGGAGAAGAAGTTCACCCTGCACACGGTGAACACCGCGGTGAACACCGCGGACATTCCGCACCAAGGCCCTGGCTATGGCGAGATTCCCGAGGCTTCGCAAGATGTTAGCAGTCACCGATGGAAACCCCAATGACGGCCGAGATCGCTCTTGGCTGTTGCAGGAGATGGCGATGACCCCGAAGCAGTGGAAGGCAAGGGCTATTGTTGCAGCAATGGCTTGCATCCAGGCACCGGGAGGTATGACAACGAAGGTGACCAAGTGGATACCCTGAGGTGCCTTGACGACCGGGCTACATGCTCATGATCATGAATCATGGCGACGGTCCTCTGCATCATTGCGGGCATCTTCATGCTCTGGTTCAGCCGGGGAAGCAAGGACGCCAAAGGCGTGACTTTGAAGTGTGCAACAGGTGCCGAGAGCACTTGACCTTGATGACGGCAGAGGCCGCTTGAAGGGCTTCGGCCCGCTGCAAAAGATTTTCTCCAAAGGACCTTCTTTGAAGAGCTGCAAGGGGTGATGCAGATTTTCGTTCACATGTACATGCAAGCTCAAGATAAAAGGTGCGAGGTAGATCGTTTCAAGACTGCACAAATTTGTTTCCCGAACACGGTTCCTTTTTCAGCTTCACGCTGAAGTAAGGATAAGTAATGTCGAGTTCTAATTCAATGTCGAGCACTGCAGCTCGCAGTCCTACTTGCGGACAATGTGAGACGGTCGTCCCGCTCAGCTGTGCTGTAAGCTCTCTCTGTCCGTTCCTTTGACGTGGGACACATCTTAAATTTCAAAAATTCTCGGACTCTGGCATTGGTAGTCTCGCACACATCGTACACTCGGCTGCAGAGGCCAGGCTTCTCGGAGCCGTCTTGGGCTCAGCTTTCGGAAATTTCGAGGCAGCGAGGCAGGCAGACCGGGACAGATAAAGATGGGTGCACATGAACTCGGCGGGTACAGATCACCCCCGCCGCAAGCTGCATTTTGCCCGACACTCAGATGCGGCTTCCTCGCACGATTCCTGGAACGCCAATGCCAGGAGCCCAGGCTAAGGCAGCTTGCATGTCCATTCGGAGCGCCATCTTCTCTGGTCTTCCTTCGCAGGCCGATATCCCTTTTTGGGCGAGGAAGTGTCCTGTCACAGACGGTGCTAAAATGATAGTCGGCGACATCTGCTTGTTTACGTGCCAGCCGAGGATTTGGGACCGGGACAATGACACAGCTTATCGTTCCAACAGTTGGCAAGGAGCTGTAGTCAGAGTAACTGTTCCTTGTGTACTGATTGTCATTCCTATAATATAGGCATGCCCGTGCCTGCGCAGGAGAAGATCAAAGCAAAGACTTCGATCGAGGAAAGGGCAAGGACCGAGGAAGAGAGAAAGGAAAGGAGAAAGGAAGAGAAAAAGGTCAGGAGAAAGGCAAGAGCAAGGGAAAGGGCAAAGACAAGGGCAAAGACGGGACGGCGGACAGGTGTCAAAGCCGTGGTCCCAGTGCTGTTCAACTTTGTGCTACTTAAATGGGTTTCGTTTGCAGCAGCTGGCAAAGATGGCGAGCTAGAGATATCATTCCAGTTGACGGGGTGGCTCGATGCTGACTGATTGTTCTGCTTGTTCCGGAATCGGCTGTGCTGTGCGGCTTTGCTACTCTTTGTGTTTTGTCGGCTGGGTAAGCCGTCAAAAGCGTCAACGTGGTGGTGCCGTCCGTTAGGTGACTCTCCTTTGCGGACGTGTTCGAGGCATCCACCGATGTTCTCGGAAGTTCCCTGTCCCACAAGTGCGAGCCTGCACAGGTCACGAAACATCGAGGAGCGGCTTGGAGGCCTCAACTGCTTGTAAATCATAGCCGTCCTCCGTGCTCACCCTTTGGTTGCAGGGAAGCTGCCTACGCCACGTCGAAGCCGTTCCAGAGGAGCTCGAGACAGGAGCCGACGTTGGGAACCAAGGATTACCTGACATGGCGCTGATTCATGATCGAGTGCCGCAAGTTTGATGCAAACACGGGCTCAGGCAGAGGGAGAATGTTTGCGACAGGCTCGTCTCGCGGCTCGATTTTTTTATTCTTATATACCCCAAAAAGCTTATCTCGCGCGCCGACTCGTGTTCGAGCTTTCGGAGGCGCCGGGCGGCGACTGCGCGCCTCGCGCAGCCGACGGCGCCGTGCGAAAGGAGGCGCTGCAGCCGCAATGCCGGTGATTCCCTGTTCTTCTGCCGCGACTGCCCGCGGCAGTCTCAGGCCGGCGACGACGGTCCGTGACCAGGCGCCCCGTCAACACTTCAGCTTGGGCTTTCTGTGTAAACCATCCTTCAACTTCGCAGAGAAAAGCCATGCCTCAAGGGACAGACGTCCACGCTCAGCCGGTCGAACAGCCCGGGAAGGTCAGCCGCATCCTTGTCCTGTCTTTTATGGCACCTTAAGGTTCAACTCCACAAGAGTTCAAGAGGACTTCGTTCGTGTCTTTGTCGCTTGAGAGCACACAGACCTGAGTTAAAGCGGTGGGCACCGATCCAGATGCTCGCGAGCGGCCCAGAACCTCTCGACGGAGCCGAAGCGCAAAGCGAGGCATCGGAGGGACCGGGAGGGCCGTTTTGGGCCTTACTTGTATGCCTCGGATGTCGTGGCTGTGGCGACGTTCTTTGAGTGCCTGTGTTCGGAGCTTGCAACAGGGCCAGCGGGCCAACGATCTCCTTTGGGCCATGGACTCAAGTTCGGTGAACTGAAGTGGAGAAGCTGGGTGCTCTCGTGTTGATTGTCAGCTGAGCTCGGCCTGGCTCTCTGGAGGTGGATTGAGGTCTGTGTCACGGAAGATGTCACCTAAGGTTGCGAAGGAGGTTGGGTGCTTTTCATTGGGCATTGGCGAGGGGTGCGGTGAGCTTCTGTGCCAGGCTCTTAAACTTTCGGAGACGCCGGAGCCAACTGCTCAGAGCAAGGCGAAGCCTGCCAAGGCACCGAATTCGAGTGCAGAGTCTCGCGTGCACGTGAGGCACTTGTGAGTTGCTTTCGTTGTCTTCATAGCAAGACACGGAGCATGCCCGTCTTCTGCCCCTCCCATGATTCTCCCGTTGCAGGCACGCAGCTGCAGCGCCTCCAGCGAATCTTCCTCTGCCAGTATGGAGACCAGGCAGGGCTCGGGCGTCTCTGGCATGGTAGAACCCCCAAGCCTGCTACCATTTTGACTTTCTTGGAGCTGCTTGCTCCTCCGTGCGTGCTGGAAGCTCTTACCTTTGTGATCACTGTCAGCTATCGTAGCACAGTTGTGCCATGCATCGCCTGCAGTTGCCGCTGCCATCTGAGAAAGGGGGTGCTTGCGTGGTTTCTCCGCGACGAATGGACAAGTTACCACGGGTGTCACTCTTTCTGACAAGGTGCCACATTTTCCTACACAGCTGCTAAAGCCGATGGGCTGCTTGCGTGTGCACTGGCGGGACCACACGCCGCCTTGTACCGAAACGTAGCTGAAGTCGGCTTATCCTCGGCCTTGTCGTGCTGCTTGTGCGCACAGTCACATTTCGTTTTTGAAAGGAACGCATGCAGCGATCATCAGATCCGTTCTATGCACAAAGTAATTTGCCAAATAGGTGGCATATGAGCATATGCACCGAAGACGAGTCCTGTGCTGTGAGGCCCAAAGCATCTGCCGGAATCCCGGGCTTGGAAGGAGCCCAGTGGAACTGCCCTATCACTCTGCTCTGAGGCCAGTGCAAAGGAGAAAGAAGACAAGGAGGAGGCCGAGGAGGCGCAGGAAGAGGAGAAGGAGAGGGAGGAGGAGAGCGAGCGTGAGGTGGAAGAGGAGGCATCGCCAAAGTCTGAGGCGGAGCCGCTTCTGTGTTGTGCTTGCAAAACAAACAAGTCTCTTCCTTGAATTGGCCCCCGTGCAAAGTGACAGATGCTTGAAGACATCGCAGCACCGTCATTCTATTGGCTTAGTTGTTTTGTAACCCGGGCAGTCCATTCTTGAACACCGGCAGACCAGGGCCCAGGACTCGGCAACATCCTTGACATCCCACCGGTGTGATGGCATCCATTGTTCCGTTGCTGGCTCGTTTCGTATCGTGCGGTGTGCGACAGAAGCAAGAGGAAGAGTCCAAGTCAAAGCTTGCGTGGCCGGCGTAGAAAGAAGCACAGCGCGAGCGGTTGCGTGGTGTCCTGTGTTCAGGCGAAGCTCCCCGAGCCCGAAGCAAAGTCCAAAGCCAAGGCTCGGCTTGAGAAGCGACGCGCGCACGGCGAAGGCACTTCTTTTCAAGCTCTCCAGGAAGGCTGCAGCAGCAGCGGGAGTGACTCCTCCGATGGCAGTGCGAGGCTGGGTTGGCCCTTTGGAGGGGATGCCTGTGCTTTCAGTTTGCTTCACTGCCCGTTGCGGAGTGGTGGGGAATGAGGCAAAGCTGGCATCTTCTTGGCGGGCTTTGTATCCGGGATAACATAGGTCCCTGTGTCATTTGACTGTGCTGGACCACCACCCACCACCCCTGCCCACCCCACCCACCCCACCAATCACCACCCAGCAGCCAGCTGCCAGCACAACCTACCACCGACGACAGCGATCACAACACAAACAAGGAGAGCAGGAATCGCAGGAAGAAGAGAAAGAGCAGTAGCAAGAGCAGCCGCCAGTGCACAAGCGGATTGTTGTAGAGGGCTGGTGTTCTTTTTTTTCTGCAGGCCCCAGTTGACCAAGCGCCAAGTCAGCCAGGCCCGTGTCAGGGGAGTTTTGGCGAGATTGCACCTGTTCGACCTGTGGAGTCCAGGAGGCGACGAAGGACCAGAGCGAGCACGAGAAAAGTGAGGAAGAGCGGCAGGCCACGGGGCCGAAGGGGCCGAAAGGGCCGTCGACTCATTCGGGCCAGGGTACTGGCTAGTTGTCAGGGCTGGAAGGCATCGAGCAGAGCATCTCCAGAAATCTATTGTGCTATGGAGGATGCTGTGGAAGAAGACGGGGTCAAGGTGCGGGCTGTGCGTCCCAGTTGTGAAGAACAGCCAGTGCCAGTGATTGCTTTTTTAAGCACTTCGAGGGTGGATTGGACAAAGCAAGCAACAGCCGCAAAGACGCTGAACATGTCTGTAACTATACCCATCCAACAAGCGACAGGTAGCGAGAGAGAGCGAGAACGCCTGCTGAAAGAAGGAGAGCGACAGAGAACAACCCTTGCTTGTGGTTCGGGGGCAACAGCATCACAGAGAGAGCGAGAGAGAGAGTGCAAGTGTGCGTGCGTGCGTGCGAGATTCAGGGTTTGACCTGCCCTGGGCCTCCAGCTAGAGAGAGAGAGAGAGAGAGAGACACAGAGCACGACCGACAGGGCGCACTCGTGCGCGAGGGTGGGGGCTTGCGCACCTGCCCTTTGGCTGTGTTGAAGAAGAGACAGAGCACCATGCAAGTGATGTTGTTAATAAGGGAAGGCCCCCTTAACTCAACTCACGCCACCCAGAGTTTCTCTTTAAGGTTTTGCGACGCATCAGAAGCAAGATAATTCGGCAGTTTTTCAGGTAGCACCCAACCTTTCTCCGGGAGAAACGCCTTGTGATCTCATCAAGAGGACGCGGCCGTGTAACTAGGATGGCAAGTTGCGGTCCCACGAGGGTGGGCGAGCGTCCTTTCTATCCATGGTTTCACAGGAGTGTAGAGAGAGAGCGGTTTTTCGTCCGAAGGCCGAAGTGGAGGCCGGCGAGGCCTTTGCCGAGGTCGAGGCGGCAGGGTCTCCTCTCAGCGGGTCAAAGGATGTCTGGTCAGGGATCCCAGGATCCCAATCCGCCAATGCTTGGAAAGCTCTGATTGTACCATTTCCTCGCGGGCTTTCTTTGCGAAAGGTTGTCACCCTGCAACCTGTTAGTTGGAGCTTTCTCTGAAATCTTGGCCGCTTTCACGTCTGATTTGTTGAGGTTTGGGCTCGAGAGGGGGGCTGGAAGTAGGACACCACTCAGTGTTGGAGCATCGTCGGTCAAAGGCCCAGTCTGGTGGTCTGGTGACGGAAGCCAGCCGCCAGCCAGTCCGACCGAGACCGAGGTTCACATCATGGCAGATGATGGTTTCGATCTTTCTCCAGGTGCCGTGAAGCCTTTGCCAGGGGACACGGAGCTCCGGCTCGGGACGTGGCTCTGGAACTTTTTCTGGAACGTAGAGGATTGCGACTGACACCAGACTGACACCATACCTTCTTGGCAGCCATTCGAGGGTCGTTGCAGGCTTTCTCGCCGCCGCCAGAGAGCAGCTGGCAAAGCTCAAAGATCCTTAGCAGCAGCTGTTGTCCACACCTGTCATGCAGGCCTATCTTCACTCAGGCCTTGAACTATGATGTGCTATTGATGTCACATTGCTTGGCGGGACACTGTTGCCAAGGTGAAAAACACATTCTTTGATGTGGTGGATTCCGAAGACGAGGAATCGGGAGAGTAGAGCTGCCCCTCGTCGTCGGGTGCTTTTGTTTCAATCAGAACACAGCTACTTCAGTTACAACTTGTGGCCTTGCGCACGTGTGAAGCGCCGAAAAAAGTTGACATGTCAATCCAGCAGTCGCTCCAGAGGAGGGGGCTCTTCGCTTCGGCAGTGTGTACAGCTGTGGCTTGGCACAAGGATTTCGATTTAGCCGCAGCTGCATGCACTGCCTGGTCCTCGGTGTTTCTTGAAGCGCTCGGTACTCCCAGGCCCGGCGAAGGGCTCTGAGGAGGCGTTCGATGCCATCGACGCATCCGACCTCCCGGCAGGATCTGTGCAGTTTGAGTCTAGGCACTGTGCTCAAAACAAGATTGCGCACAGGCTCCAACATCCCTTCCTCATGTACATACATGAGTACTTGTTTCTTCGCAGGATCGTCCTTGCCAATGGTGCCAGCTCCCCCGCAAGTCCCACCACCACTTCCGAGGCGGAGACCTAGCTGTGATGTGTTCCTGCAGACGATGTTCATCAACTAGATGCGACAGTGCGGCTGTCATGCCACCAGCTCTACAGCCTAAACCGTACGGCACACGTCATACCTTCTGTGATAATCAAAGAGGCCAGGAGAGCACAGCCAGGCTTCAACCTGGGCCAGAGCGACCCTGCTTGCTGACCAGCAGCCCTGTGACAAGCCCGAAGCATGGAAGTGGCCGCACCCTTAGACTCATGTTTAGTAATCTTAGTAGAAGTCCGAAACATGCGCTCTCGACTACATCGAGCATGGCGCGCAGCAGGTTAAGCCCTTCGGCTTGGTGACGTCTATCTCACACAGACTTCTTAGTTTGGACTCGAGCAGATAGGACTGCCTCCACTTCCGAGGCAGAGAGGATGAGCCGACCCACACGAGTCCCTTCAAAGTCGAGGGCTCGGCGTTTACGCTCGATTGGGAGCATTTGCGCGATCATGCGAAGTCAGACGGTAGATACCGCACGTCGGTAGCAGTTGCAGCAAAGATACCCCGCTGTCTGTACGTCGCCACGGATGCCAGAGTGGGAGCTGCAGACTGCCTTATCTTGGAACAGGTTGGGGCAGAAATTTGTGCAGATGCTTCAGATTCCGATGCTAGCAGGCCAGATTCTCAAGCAGCTCACTCGAGAAATGTTGTTTTTCATGAGACGTCCTGTGCAGGATGAGCCATTCCCGCCCACAGCGTGCCACGGGCGTAGCGGACGGGTTTGAAGAGGAGACATGATGCAGCGCAGAGCAGTTGAAAGAGAGTTCTGAAGGCACGCAACATTCCTGTCCTGTCTATGCCGGCTGTTGCTCTAGCGCAGAAGTACGTTTCTGAGCAGCATCACACGGGCCCCTCGTCGGAAGTCCAGTGTGGAGGAACCTGCCTCGTCATCCTCGCAGACCCGTCCGCGGCCCAAAAAGGCTGGGGGGAGTCTGCGGAGTTTCGCCACGCAGCGAATCCACACTTAGACTTCGTCTCTTCAGGGCTTCCCGGCCTCCGAGACTTTCCCAGCCATCGAGCCATTGGAAACCCGGCGCCCCCAGCAATCGTTGGGATCGCAAGTCCATGGCCCGGGCCCCGGCCCAGAATTTTCACTGGCTGTTGTAGGGAGCCTGAGCCTGAGCCTGGATATGGTGAGGCACTGGTAACTGCAAACCTTGCGCCTGGTTTTGGCGGCCACAGGGCTGTGCCAACGGCGCGGTCCGGCTCTTGGAGATCGTGCAGATGCCTTGCAAGCCAAAACCTGTAGCGGTATGAGTCCGAGTGTTGGCAATGGTCTAAACTCCACTCGCGATATCCATTCTACGCCGCGCGGAAGCATGCAAACGGAAGACTAGACGTCGTCCATGGACCGAAATCACTCTTGCTGTCATTTGCTAGGATGTCAGGGTTGCCCCTCTTCAGGAATGTGGCCACTGTCACCTTTGCTCTGCCGCAGAGTTGAAGGCCAGGAAGAAGGCCTGGGCGTGGTCACAGCTTATGCGGTTTCTGCGAAGCTCAGCCTCGAGCCTGAGCACAAGCTGTCAAGGCTAAGAAGTCGGCATCCCAGCGCCTCAGGGCTGCGGCTGCTGCGGCACAGGCCCCGTGTCTGTAGACCACTGTCACTGTTGACTTTTTTTAGTTCTGTGACATGGAGACTCATATTGCTCAAGCCGGACAGCTGAAAGCTTAGCACGGTGTGCTTCGTCTGCAAGCTCCGCTCTTGTGACATTCGGGAGGCATCTCCGCAGGAGAAGCAATCGCCGGCAGGGCCTGTCAGGAGCCCAATTCCGAGGTGCCCTGCGGACCCGATCTAGTCTGGATTAAGATGTAAGTGTGGTGGCGGCCTTGACAGTGGATCACCAGAGTTGGGAGGTTCTTGGCTTCTCTGAATTCGAGCAAGGTTGTCGCAGTGGCGCCTGGGCCGATCATCGTGCCAGCTATACTACTGCAGTGAAATCCTGGCTCTGATCAGGCTATGAGGAATGGTCTCCTGTAGGTCAGTTGCGAGAGAGCATGAAGACTCCGAGATATGTTGCAAGACCATTCTGATCAGCAAGGCCTCATGAGATCTCCAAGATTTTTTTCCTTTACAGGTGGCTAATTTTGAATTGACATCGAGAGAATTAGATGTCACAAGCCCGACTATCGCTTCGGTTTGCAATCATGGAGGACTCAATGCCTTTTCACTGAATCAGCGTCGATTTTTTCAGTGCGAGCCGTAGACCAAGACACAAGCGATGCATGCTGTCGTCGTGTATGGCGATTCATAGCGAGGACCTGTTAAGAGATGTTCAGAGAATCGTCAAAGCGTTTGCGTGGACCCCCCATGATACCGAATGCCTGCATCGTTCATTGCTGCACTTTGGAGCAGACAATGCCGTGAGTGCCGCCAAGAAAGCAAGCTGATCCACTGGGCAGTTCTTGGCTGCCCGACGAATGTCTTGGTGGGAGCATGGGCTCGTTTTGAAGGTGCTGTGCTGATCTGGCCTCCAGGTATCCTGCTGTGATGGCAAGACTGGAGCTGAAAGTGCAGTGGTCCGCCCGTGCTGGGCACCAGCTTGCCCAGACGGCTCTGTTCAACTCTAGAGCAGTGCAGGGTGGCAGGCAGTCAGCTGATGTCTTCCCAGCAGCCTGCAGCAAGCCAAGCCGACAACACCTTTCCCTGCAGCGTCACGCTGCTCATGAGCCTGTTCTAGGGGTAGTATGTCCGTATGTCCTGTCATGGTTGTGTCTACTAAGCATCACCCCAGCACAAGGGCAGTACTCCCAGGTATTTTGCCTGCTTGCGGTCTTTGCGAAATGTATTGGATACAGCCACAGATTGGTAGCATAGTTGTCTGCTGACTGCGACCGGATCCTGTCTGATATTTTGAAAAACGGATAGCATCTGCTGCCTGCACGAAGACTACAAACTTCACATTAACACGTGGGTTAGCGAAGACGTTTTACGAAAGATCGTGGGGCAGTGATGATCGCAAGTGTGAACCAATTATGCAGTCCAGAAGACCAGTCGACAAATCTCTGGTGCAGCTTGACAGCAACGATTGCATCTCGCCTTGTGAGTTGCTGAAATTGCTAACAGAGGAGCTGCGCTACCATCGGTGCTGTGGTGAGCTCCCAGAGAGCCATGATTCAAAGCATGCAAGGACTGCACACAAGAATGGGGAGATGCTCGTGACCGACTTGCCGATACCGTTCTCTTCCCCTTGCAAGCGGAATCTAGTCTGCTGGTCGGCACGACATCTTCCGATTCAGACAGCTCGTCGAATGCGCAGTGGGGCACTGTAAAGATCCTTTGCGTCGGATGAGCGTTTGCTTGTTTCCGCCGACGTCGGGCACACCAGCCACAATGGCTATGATCTGCTCTCGCAGCATGTCAATGTCATTCTTGGTGAAGTAGCAGGCCTTCCAGGCAGAGGAGCAAATTCAGTGCATGCTGAATGCGATCTACACTTATCTGCAACTTAGCCACGTGGCCTGGTTGTGCTGATGTTTCTCCGTGGCGGTTGCAAGAAGAAGCACCTCCCAGCACAAGCCGTCTTGCACGCAAGTTCCACTTCCAAAGCCATTTTCATCCAGAAAATTTGCTTGAACTCACACCGCAAATATCGCGAATGTCCGCCGTGTCGCCTGTTGTTGTTCAGTTGCACACTTTGCTCTTTCCGAACGGCTTCGTGCAGTCGTCGTGGTTGTTGTTGTTCTGGTGCTTGTGGTTGTTGTTCCTCCTAGCAGACTCTGCTTTCACACAAATCTGAATGGCACCAATGATCCCGAATAATCCTGAATGCCTCAATGCTTCCGGCCCCACAGCGGACTGGCTAGTTCGCTTTAGAACTGTTAGTCTGGCGCGGAAGAGTAGAAGGAAAGACGTCATCACAAACCCGCGAAGCCCTGAGGATTGAGGATGTTGCAAGAAGACCCCAAACTCAGGATGCCAAGGCCAAGCCCTTTGGCCTTGGTCAGGAAATGCCTGGGCAAGGTGCTGCTTCCTTGTAAAGAGTCGTTGGAGGTTCCTGCGCCACCTGGCAGCGGAGCTCGCTGCGGGTCAGCTTCGAAAACTTTCACTCCGGTGCAGTGAAGTGGCTAGGAGTAAATGACATGCTGGTGGAGCAGGAACCTGGGCTCGACACGTCTACAGTCCATGTGCTTCGAATTGCCTTCCTCCATGTTCGTGGGCCCTAGCAGCCCTAGCAGGGTCGCCGGGTCCATGTTTCCACAGTTGTGGAACATGCTCTCACCCTGCACACGACAGGCCAGGCCAGACCATGATTTATGCTGGCCCGGCTGTCTAGTTTCTGTTGGCATAGCCCGTCGATCCCTCACTGCAGTCTGGAGGTCATGACTGTTGCCGCATAGTCTGTGGGCCGTTGTTGTATCTGCGGGACGCGGGGGTGCTGCAGTGGCGAGGGGTGTTCCCTGAGCAGATGCGAGGACGCCGCCTGCACCTTAGTGGGTGGGTTTGCACAGAGGTCTTGCAGACACTCAAAGATAACGGTTTGCTACAAGATGCGGGCATGACGGGCCATGGAGATTTTTATGTTCTGGGATCCCCATGCGGTTCTGTACTTCGCGTGGGATCTCCATGTTTTTCCACCAGACGGTGGAAGATCGGCAGTATTTGAAAGCGCCTGCAGATAAACAGGAGCGCGATATCTCTCCTTTGTCGTCGAGGGTGCGCTACCTGAGGACGACACCTTTCACTTTCAACTTGGTAGTCCTATCAATGTCTTTATCTTGTTTGATACTCATGCAGCGACACACCTATTTCCAATTTGCCGTGTTGGGGATGCTCAGCGAGAATGGAAGGGTCTCATCGACTTCCTGCAGACATCTCCATTGGACAGACTTCCGTTGGAGGCTCCACGCCCTAGAGGCCCTAGTGCGACACAGGATGCTAAGACGAAAAGGACTGACCTGGGGATAATCGCTTACAGAGTGCTACTGACTTAGACGGGTAAGGGTAGCGGAGAGCCTTCTCCGGGTTGTTGAGACTTTCCGCAGCCAAACAGTCCAAAACAGCCCGGAACTTGCTTCCTGGCTGTGACGGCTACGACAAGTCGAAAGCTTGCCATGGCCCCAACATGACCCTCAGAGCTGAGGATTTGTCATGGCGACTTTAAGCAATACGCGTGATTGACAGGTCGAAGTTAAACACATTCCACTGCAATCGCCAGCTCCGCAGTTGCCGAGCCAACTTGCAAGCGATCAGAGATCGCCAATCCAATCCTGTGACGCAGAATGGGCAGCCATGCATACTGTCTAAATCCATCATCTGCGGCGGCGGTTGCAAAGACTTTTGGGACAGTTGAGCCGACGTCCTGAAGGGGAGCTGCACGTTTTTCCCCATTATTCCCCATTACAGATTACAGAGTAGTAAACTCGTACATGCTTGAAGGAAGAGACCACCCCCCATCTGTATAAGCGAGTGTTTCGCTTTAAAAGCATGATATGGCAGCTCCCAGCATGCAGCTTGTGACGACCGTCACCGAGCATGCGGCTGCTTGCCACCAGCAGAAAACAGGCAGAAGAGGAAAAGTGAAGGAAAAGTGAAGCGGCAACGCGCAGCCAGCTGGGCAGCTGCTTTCATCAAGATGGGAGCATTTCGCGCAGGGGCGCTTTGCATCTTTCTGCTTGCTGCGATCTGCCTCATTTGGCAGGACGCAGTTGACCTGGAGGCGGACAACTTCGATGACATCGATGATGAGAAGCTTATGGCCAGAACCCTGGGTCATGTGTGGTTCACTTTGGCGAGATTTCGCTCCTGAGAGCCTTAGTGCCTAGCGCCAGCAGACTTGCGGATTGACATGCTGTGCAGCGCTTTCGCAGGCGCAGCTGCAACAGGGCCTCATGAAGGCTGTGCAGAGTCGAAGTGCCAGGATGCTGTCCCTTTTGAAAACTTCCCCACTGCCCGAGCCACCTTTTCTGGACAGCGTGGTTATCGATGTTTTTCCCGTTGGCTCTGCGTTCTTCTGGGCGGGTTCCGGAGAGGTTCGGGACCTGTTCGCGTTCCGGACAGGGGTGGGGTTACGGGACCGGTTCGGGTGGCGAGGTGTCGGGCAGAAGCGGCCAGGTTCTGGGGGCAGGTCTCGGAGAGGTTCGGGGCGGGTTCCGGTGCGGGTTCCGGTGCGGGTTCGGTTCCGGCAACATTAGAAGCCCACTTCAAAGCTTGGAGAACGCATTTAGAGCTGTTTCAGCTTTGCCCCATTCCCGAGGCTTTGATTGAGCTCTCGAAGCCACCGACCAAGCCCCAATGCATTTTGCAAGTCCTGCTAAACGCATCTGGCCTTCGTTTCATCAAATCTGGAGCTCAAACCCGAAGATGGTACTGAAGATGCTTTGGCTTGGTTTCCAGGGCCCCAAAATGCATTTTTCAAATCTTGGGAAAACACATTTAGAGTTGTTTCAGCTTTGCTGGTGTTCCTTGTGCCTGTTTCCGAACCCAAGTCGAGATCCCGAAGCCTCGGACCAAGCCCAACTGCACCTGCTAAATGCATTTGGCCCTGGTATCGACAAATCTGCAGCTCAATGCAAATGCTGCTCCTACACACTCCTACATACCGAAAATGCAGCCACCCGGAAACTGCTCGAATCAGTTCCCGGAGCTCCGACCAAGCCCAATGCTGACGTTCAATGCCGTCCCTACATCCGAACATGCTTTAAGTTATGTTGATTCAGCAATAACACATACGCTGCTCAGATTGAGCTCTCGGAGCTTTGCGCAAACTCAAAGGCATTTTCCGAGGCCTGTTAAACGCATTCGGCCCTGGTTTCGGGAAATCGTGTGCTCAATTCCCGGCCGGGCATGGCCATTCCGCTGTTGGGGATGTTCAACGGGATTGTTTTCCATGGGGGTGGTTGGGATGGCATGATCTGATGAGGTTGTTGGGTGGCATGACGTGGCGATGCTGTTGATCTGAGGTTGTTTCTACTTCACAGGGAAGGTTTAGTGGGAGTCGCCGTGCATCGTAAAATTACGCTTCACGCATGGTTCCGTGACTAGCGCCTGCGGTCATGCGAAAATGGAGCTGCCCGTTTGGTGACATGACGATTCAGTGTAGATTCCAATCCACTGTCTTCGTGTTGGTCTCGAAACGACAATTCTCTCGGGAAGCGCGATCCATGGTTAATTCCAAGACTCTTGCCTAACGTTGGTCTCGAAATGGCAACCCTCTCGGTGCTGCCGGCGTCTCTGGGTGCTGCGAGTGTGGTGCCGCATTGATTTTGGCTTCGAAATGTCTGAATCGTGCCAGTACTTGAGGGAAACATTTTGGTCATTTCAGGTTTCGCCATCTATCTTTACATGGGAGCAGCATTTTAGCATATTCCTGAATTCCCTTTGGTGGCGCGAGATCGTGCTGTCTGTGTGAATCCTGCCAGGACAAGGGGGAAGCAGTTTGCTGGTGCATGTGGTGCCGTGAAGATTCGTGTTCGGAATAGAGAGCCCTCCCGGAAAATTGCAAGCGATTGATTGGCCTTACGTCGGCCTCGGAAAGACAACTCTCCCGATGGACGCGCTGGGTCCCGGCGCTGTGCGTGTGGTGCCCCGTTGTTCGAATCCTGCCAGTTCTTGGAGGAAGGATTTCGGTCATGTCTGCGAATCCCGCCAGCACCGATGCATGGACGGGATGGCTGGATGGCTGCATGGATGGACGGATGCATGCATCGGTGGAGGAACGGATGGATGGATGGATGGGTGGATGCGTGAATCGGTGGATGGGTGGCTGGGTGGACGGGTGAGATATTTAATAATGTTCGGTGTTAGCGCTCAGAACGCATTCGGACACTAATTCTCTAGTTTGTGCGTGCTTCGCCATGATGCCAGGTGGAAGAAACAGAAGACACCATCGACGCAGCAGAGCCAGTGGAGCTTGTGGAGTGCGTCAATCGAAACAGGGTGCCGCGGCAGTGTAACGGCACAACGATGGAAGCATACTCAGCTCAGGATTTTCATGGATTTTCCGATCTGCTAGTTGGCTGTGTCCGCAGTGGGGTACTGGTGTATGCTATGAAAAGCCTGTGTGTGCGACATGTCACTTGAAGCGAAGCACTGGCGAAGCACGGAAGGGAAAGCTCGTTCTGTTGCAGGGCACTTGCCTGGGTCTTCGAGCAGAGAACGGCGAGGAGTTTCTCTTGCAAGGGGCTTGAGATTTGGAGCCTTTGATGCGGAGAGTGATGCTGATCCCGCGATACGTGCACCAGGACCAGAAGCTCGAGCACAAGCTGCTTCAGCCTCTGAAAAACCGGTCAGGTTCTGTCAGGGTGACGAGTTTCAGAACAAGGCAAACCAGCCGCAATGCGTCCTTCCCCATGGTCAAGAACTGGTGCATCTGGCTTGTGTCTCCGCTTCTGGCTCTGAGGCTGTTTGCGGATGACACCATGCGCGGTGGGTTGTTCACGGGCATGTACTGTATCTCGTCAGCAGGCACATGACTGGTGTTTTGCCATGGCAGAAGTTTACACCAAACACCCAGCAGTCATGAGCCTTCCTGCCATTTTCTGCTTCGATCATCTTTCGCGTGTCTATTCTTGGGGTGAAGAGCGACGAATCATTCGAGACTGTGCCAGAACTGCTGCATGTACTTGAGTGCTCGAGATTTGCGAACCGGTTATCGTTGTCGAGACCACTTGTAGGGTCGTTGTGGGGCAACGCGGAGGAATGGCCCTCTTTTCTGCCACAGCATTTCTACTTCCGGCCAGGGAGTGTTCACTCGGTAGCTGGACATCTACAGACACGCAGGCTCACGCCCGCGCACACACACAAAGCAGTCACAAACATTTTGATAGAATCGAGGACGCTCATGCTGCCCTGCCTTCACCGTTTCGTCTGAGCAAGCGGTAGCTGAAGACGACAACAACGATGCAAACTAATCTTGCCAGCCAATGGGCCTATTGTTTTCAATTTGCCGGCTCAGGGGCCCGGCTTGGTCTGCAGGTACATGTCAAATGTGATCGATCACATCGCACCCCCACCTTGAAGTACAGCATTGTTGGACAGTTTTCGCTTGAAGGCCGGTGCGCTCCTCGATGCCCAGACCCACGAGCCCCAAAATCCTGTGCAAGCATGGCCAGAACAGTTCACACACAAGGATCTCCAAAAGGGGGCGCTGCACAAATGCCGGGAAGTGGAGTTCCTTTCTGAGTCCAAAAACCCGGTCTCTGCACGACACCAAAACCAAATCCAAGAACAATTCTGGGCACATGTTGGAGAGTGGAGATTGAACGTTTCCACCCAAGTGCGGAAAGACACCCAGGATGCCTTGACCGCCATACCAACTTCAAAGCAACACGATTTGCTACAGAGGCGGGCTTGGCAAGAAAGCAAGCAAGGATAGAAATGCAGGATCCTGCGCATTAACCGCATCTGACTTCCTGCAAATTGTGCACCTTTTGCGTGCACATGCCATCGAACACATCGGGACCGGCTGCATTATATTGCCATTGCATAATCATTATCAAGGCATCTCTGAAACAAATGACTTGTAGTCTAAAGATCGAACTTGCAGTAACATGTTTGTCGGGAACGATTTCTCAAGCGAACCCTACCCCAACCGTGGCCGAAGCGATGCCGTGACGGAAGGCCACTGATCACACTTTGGTTGAAGCGCAATTGGCCTCACCAGCTAGCGGGCCTGGTTTGTTGAAAATATTGCCGGCTCAGGGGCCCAGCTTGGTCTTCCTCCTTCACACGCAGCCTCGTTGGACAGGTCTCATTCATGAAACCCAAGGCGATGTAGGTGTTGTTTTTTGGTTTGCCCGTGTGTTGAGACGGCTCACACACTCAGATGTCCAGATTGATACTAACAGTTGAGTATTCCTTAGTGTGGTGTTGGGTGCAAGAATGAGGTGCCCACACACTTTTTTCTGCGTGACATCCTGTTGGGGTTCCGCAGAGAGATGGTCCGTTGCTGACATAGACAAACATAAGCGCATTGCACCATCATTTCTGCAAGCTCCAACTAGTGGTAAGTCTCTAGTGCACACAGACACATACAGACTCAGGCTCCAGACACGGACACGCACACGCGCACACACACACACGCACACGCACGCACCCACACACGCAC